CCCGAGTGCTGCCGTGAGCGGCCATTCGGCCACGTTGTGATGGAATTCTGAGTTCGGAGGCCTCTTGTCCCTGGGGTGGCGGGGCGGGGGTCGTCTGCCTTCTGGGAGGGGCAGCCGCTGCAGCCACAGCCCTGCCCCGAGCTGAGGGGTCCCGCGTGGTCTGTGCCCAGAGTGTGAGCGGACGGTGCCTCTGCTTGGCAGTCTGCCCCGTTTCACTTGGGCAGCAAGTTCCAAGTGCCTCAGCTGCCAGGCATGCTCTTTTGGAAACACCCTGAACTCAGGTTTATCTGTTAGAAAATGCATCTTATTAGAAATGGAACCTTGAGGGGCGCCTGGGTGGCTCAGTCGGTTGAGCGACTGCCTTCGGCTCAGGTCATGATCCTGGAGTCCCGGGATCGAGTCCCGCATCGGGCTCCCTGCTCGGCGGGGAGTCTGCTTCTCCCTCTGACCCTCCCCCCTCTCATGTGCTCTCTCTCTCTCATTCTCTCTCTCAAATAAATAAATAAAATCTTTAAAAAAAAAAAAAAAAAGAAATGGAACCTTGAGAACATTATCGGGTTCCCCAAACTGGAGTGAATCTGGTAGAATCCACGTCTCTGCCGTGAGAGGGAAGTGGGGGCGACCCGGCGCAGGGGTGAGCATGCCCGTGACCCTGCAGATTTGGGGGGAGAGCTAACCGGCAGCATTATTGGGATAGAGTTCACATGTCCCAAAATCCAGCTCTTGAAAGTGGTTTTTAGTACATTGACCAAGTTACGGGACCACCACCACAGTGTAGCTTGACAACACTTTCATCATCCAGTTCCCATTAGCACCCACTCCCCCGCCAGCCCCCGGTCGCCTCGCATCTGCCTTCTGTCTGTGGACTTGCCTTCTGGGCCTGCCGTGTAGACGGAGTCACGGCGTCCGGGTGTGGCGTCTGTCGCGTGCGGCCAGGGTATGGTCTCATTTCTCTGATGACTGTTGGCCATTTGTGGATCTTTGGGGAAATGTCTGTTCAAATCCTTGTACTGGTCTTTTTATGACTGAGTTTGGTCTTTCGTGTGCCCCAGGTACAAATCTGCTATTAGCTACGGTTTGTGAGCGTTCTTGTCGGGGAGCCACGGGGACCTGTGCTCACGGTCCCCGAGGAACACGGGAATCTGTGGGGCGCTCTGGGTCACCGCCCCCCAGATCCCTGTGTCCCGAGTGGGTGTCGGACGGTTTCTCACGGTCTCCCAGGCGATGAGGCGCGGGCTGCTCGCTCCCCGCTTCCGTGCCCTCTGGAACGGGCCCTCGGCGCGAGGGCGTTGTGACCACGGCTCTGTCGCTTCCTTGCTGCTCAGGCTGAGGGTGTACAGACGGAGCTCTGCACCTGGAACTTCGCACACAGCGCGGGCCCTGTGGTGCTTTCAGACTCCCACCGGAGCCTTTGTTTCCGGAGCCGTGTGGGGTCCCCTGGCTCCAAGCCCAGCACGTTCTGGCTGTGCTTCCCCTCCCTTCTGAGCAGACAAGCCGGGTGCCCTCGTGGCTTCGTGGGGTTGGCTCTGTGCAGGCCTGCTGGTCACCACAGGTCCTAGGCCGAGGCTGGGAAGACAGCACGGGGCGTGGGCTTGGCCTTCCATGCACTAAGGTCTGGGGGAGCTCATCACATTTGGCCCCTGTGCGTAAGTCTGTCGTCCACACCTGCACAGCCCTCGGTGACCCAGGGCCTGTGTTAGGGGCACACGCAGGTTCCAGGGTCCCCACCGCCTTCACCACGCTCTGCCCTGCCGTCTGGGGGCGAGGGAGAGATTTCACAGCTCTGGGTGAAGCGGGGACCCGAGGGGAGGCAGGTCCCACAGCCACACGGCGTGTGTTCCAAAGTCAGCAGAGGCTTGGGGTGGCTGGTGCGTGCGTGAGGGGTCTGCAGCCCGCTCATCCCCCCAGTCTGTGGCAGCCCGGTGCAGCCTCTGCGGGCCACCCCACCCCCTCCCAGGTCAGCCCCTCCGTCTCTATCCCCAAAGAGAGGTGCCCGGGCAAAGGGAAAGAGCCCGTTCCCTCCGCTGCTGGTGGCGAAGCGTTTCCCTCCTTCCGCGAAGCACCTGGCGGCGAGGGAGTGTGGCCCTCCCCTCTGAAGGGCGCTCGCTCTCCAGGCCCAGCCTGCCATCCCTTCCTCTGCATCCGTCCAGTCCAGCGGGACAGGAATGGCCATGAGGTTTCTCCTGGTGTGGGGACACTGCGGTGAAGAGAGACAGGCGGGTAGGTATATTTATTTTGACACTTTGTAGATTTAAAATTAATCGCTGAAACAACTCTGCATTTGTAATTCGGACATGTGACCTGCTATTTTGCTCGGCAGCAGGATGTAAATACCCTTGAAATACCGCGATTTGTAAGGAGTGTTAATCACGTCTCTTGGGAAGATGTAACTGATTTACCGCATTGCAGGTTAGGTGGGGGGAACGAGGAAGAGCCGACTCTGAGAGGCAGTGCTCGTGGGCTGTAGGTTGGCACTGCCCCGTGGGGTCGTATTTGAGGTGTTACATGATCATGTGGAAACCGCGCGTGTCCGCTGGACAGTGTGGAGGGTGTGAGTTGGCCTTGATAACGTTCATTCCGACTCTGCCTCCCTAGGGACGGGGGACCCCTCCGGGGCAGCGGGCGCCTCCGCCTGCCTAGTGGGGCCGAAAGCCAGTGGCTGGAGAAAGGTTTTCAGGATTTTCATTTTTGTATTAAAAGTTATGTTTTTATGTTTCTTTCTTTTCCGGGTTTCTTTATCATGTATTCTTTTTCAACGTAAGTTTGCAAATCTGCGGCCATGAGAAGCCCCCTGGCTGTGTCCAGAGAAATAAAGGGATATCGGGCACCCAGAGATTGAGATATGAAGCTCTTACGAGGCAGTTTAGTCAGCACCCCTGAAGTGGGAAGGCCAGCAGGAAGGGGCGTGAGGCGGTGGGGGAGGGCTCACACGGCTCAGGTGTGGCCTGGCCCTCGTGGCGCCGGGTTCCTGTAGGGCCGCGGGCTCTTGGGAGGGCCACGTCCTGAGTTCCTGCCAGTGAGGGGCCAGCCCGTTCTCTCCCGGGGATCTTGCATTTCCCGAGTCCCTGGTGAGCGTGTCCGGAAACACGGGTGGAGTTAGGAGACCAGGTGGGTCTCCGCCCTCAGTCTGCATGGCCGTCTCGCAAAGCCAGGCCCTAACAGGAGGCCTGGAGGCGGCGTTGGCTGAGGGAAGGTGCATGCGTGTGCTGGGGGCGCACCTGGACGCTCCTTACCCCAAGAAGGTGGGGATGGGCAAACCAGTGGTGCGTGAGCAAAAAAACAAAACGAGCTGATGTGAGGCTCTCCTGAGCTCAGCCAGCAGAGATGCTGTCACTCACGTTACCCTATCCACGTGGCTTCAGGAGCGCAGCCTCCCGACCCACAGCGAGAGGGAGGCAGAAGACCCGGACTCCCGCATGGCTGCCCACGTCATTTCGTGCTCTGTTCGTTGTCGACAGCTGTGGCTGCGGGCTGTCCTCGGGCTCCGAGGAGCTGCATGAGGCTTGTGTTCAGTGACAACCGAGCCCGAGCTTTGGTCTGACCCACCCTTCTTCCTGTCCTGTCACACTGACCCCCTTTTCCCACCGCTTCCCGTAGCCCAGCAGGCTTGAGCTAGGCCGCCGGCCTGGGTTGGGGGGACAGGACCCTGAGCTGGGCCACCGGCCTGGGGGTGGGGGGGGACAGGACCCTGAGTGAGCTGGGCCGCCGGCCTGGGTGGGGGGGACAGGACCCTGAGCTGGGCCGCTGGCCTGGGGGTGGGGGGGGACAGGACCCTGAGTGAGCTGGGCCGCCGGCCTGGGTGGGGGGACAGGACCCTGAGTGAGCTGGGCCACCGGCCTGGGTGGGGGGGACAGGACCCTGAGTGAGCTGGGCCGCCGGCCTGGGTGGGGGGGACAGGACCCTGAGCTGGGCCGCTGGCCTGGGGGTGGGGGGGACAGGACCCTGAGTGAGCTGGGCCGCCGGCCTGGGTGGGGGGGACAGGACCCTGAGCTGGGCCACCGGCCTGGGGGTGGGGGGGGACAGGACCCTGAGTGAGCTGGGCCGCCGGCCTGGGTGGGGGGGACAGGACCCTGAGTGAGCTGGGCCGCCGGCCTGGGTGGGGGGGACAGGACCCTGAGCTGGGCCACCGGCCTGGGGGTGGGGGGGGACAGGACCCTGAGTGAGCTGGGCCACCGGCCTGGGTGGGGGGGACAGGACCCTGAGTGAGCTGGGCCGCCGGCCTGGGTGGGGGGACAGGACCCTGAGTGAGCTGGGCCACCGGCCTGGGTGGGGGGGACAGGACCCTGAGTGAGCTGGGCCACCGGCCTGGGTGGGGGGGACAGGACCCTGAGTGAGCTGGGCCGCCGGCCTGGGTGGGGGGGACAGGACCCTGAGTGAGCCGGGCCGCCGGCCTGGGTGGGGGGGACAAGACCCTGAGCTGGACTGCTGTGTGAGGCTTTATTTTAGCTTCTGTCTGTAGCTGTGGGGTCTTGGTACCTCCGTGCTGACAGCGTAGGGTTGGATGAGTGTTGTCAAGATTCTTCTGGTCGGAAGATGTTTACCTTGTGCCTCATGGGCATGACCCTTTGAATAACGTGAGGACGGGTCAGAGCCCAGCCGCCCGTCTTCCCAGGAGAGCCCTTGAGCAGGGAGACGGGAGACAGCTCACAGCTCCATCCTGCACTCGCAGTCTTACCCTCTCGTTAAAGACCTGCTCGCACGTGTCTGACAGGCTGTCTTCTGTGGGAGGCCTGAGGGTCGTGCTGAGCACTCCGTCTGCAGGAGCCCGCCGTGTTCTTCCCCGACGACCAGATTGGAAGGGTTTTCCTGCCGGCTCCCGCAGGGGTGCAGACCACCCGCTCAGACTGGTGCCTTGGGGAGCGTAGGCCGTGGGGGTTGAGTGAGATCGGGGCAGCTCAGGCCTCGGCAGGTGGGGCCCGGCGCAGGTTCCGTAGGTGAGGCCGCGTGTTAGCCAGCACTCGGGGGGGCTGTCCCCACTAACGCCGCTCTGTTTCCCGCAGTGTGCTGGAGAAGAGAACTGGGTGGACAGTCGGACCATCTACGTGGGGCACAGGGAGCCCCCCCCAGGTGCTGAGGCCTACATTCCGCAGAGGCACCCCGACAACAGAATCGTCTCCTCCAAGGTGAGCTTCTGTCTGGGACCTTGTTTCCCATGGGCCCTGTGGGGACGGCGGTTACCCGCTCTGCTCCTGGGGCCATCGCCGCGGACGCTGCCCACCCCACTGAACACTGCTGTTGGCGTCTGCGTGGGGCTGGCCCACTCGTCCGTAGCTTGTCCCCACAGCTGGTGGGACGTGCATCCTGTGTGTTAGACCACCTGTCCTTCACGTCTCTTTAACATGCCACGGACGCGGGAGGCCTACTTCTGCCACTGATGTGTTTCCTGCCCGGCCACGTCCCACCCCCGCCAGGGTCTCCTCACCTATAGAGATGACACTGAATGTCCCTGGTGGCAGGAGGTACGTGCAGCCCCCTTGTCGACAGGAACACTGGGCACGTGTCCCAGTCTGTCAGGTGGCGTGGCAAGTGCCGCAGGAAGGCCGTGATGGGGATGTCCTCACTCAAGTGAAGCGCGTGTTCTCCTTGCCTGGAGCACAGGAACAGAGGCACACTTCACAGGCTTGCTGAGTCACCGGTCAGTGGCTCTCCAGGACGGCTTTGAGCAAAAAACGTAAACGATGGCTTCCCGGATTTTAGAGAACTTTCCCGTTAGACGCACATACCCATGCATCCATGAGGGCGTGCGCACACATGGCTGTGTGTCCCGGGTGGGCACACCTGTGTGGTGGGCCCACTAGATCCCTGTGTGGCCCACGTGTCTGGATATGTGTGGTAGAGCTACCGAATTCCTCAGGAAGCTATCAGAGATTGCCCTAAGTTTAAGAATACTTGAGAACAGAAAAGCTTTGCTTTTCAAGGCTCTTTTTTTAAATGGACCGATTTTATTTAAAACTGTGATGGAAAATAACAGTGACGATGATGATCCTAGCTTCGATTCGCCAGACTCGCCGTGTGGACAAGCAGATTGCTCATCACGGAAATCCCACGCAGTGTGCATGGTACGTGGTCGCCCAGAGGGATGCGTGCGGGGGACGTGGCCGAGCAGGACCTTTCCCGGGGTGCCGGGGTCTTTGCAGTGGTGACCTGTGTAAACTGAGCGGTCTCAGCTGGAGCTCACTGAAGACTGCGTCACCGGTGGGCCCGACACAGGAAAGGAACCTCCGTCACACATCTTAAAAATCAGCTCCTGTGCTGTTCAAGTGCTTCGAGAGTCAGGGAAGCGCGCTGGATGCCGCGGCTGCAGGTGCCGCATGCGCTGAGCAGGGCAGGGCGGGGGCAGGTGACGGGGCTCAAAGCCGCCCACACTGCCCAGTGTCCAGCCAGCAGGACGTGTGTCGGGCCCTTCGGCCACCGATGGCTTCCCGCTGCGGTTGGTTTCTCCCTCTAGGGACAAAGCCCCCAGTGCCTTTCGGGTCGATGTGGGAAGTTCTGCACAGGGCTGTGCAGAGGAACCTTCTGGAAGACAAGGCCTCTGGTTGACTGAGGCCGTCCAAGGGCCTTCCTGATGCATTTGGTGGAATATAGCCAGATGCTGAAGGATGCTTTGTTTAGGACAAAAAGCCCTGTCAGTGTTTTAGGGGAGACAACCAAAAGCAGCGATTTCTAAATCCTATTCTTGACTCTTTGTGCTCTGACTCAAGTTGTAGAGCCAGTTTATTATCTTCATTTTTTTCTTTCAAATACTCCCACAGTGATTTTGAGGTGCCTTGTCGTCTTCCCACCTTTTCTCTCCCTGGGGTGGCACCCATGTCCCCAGCTGCCCTACCCACACTGGGCCCCCAGCGCTGTCTCAGTTTTTGACAAAGCGGTGGAGGAAGGAGCGTTTGAGACAGACGTGCAGCATCCCGGGGTTTTTCACAATGGGTCCTTCTCAGGAAAGCTCCTTCAGGGCAGGAAGAACTGAGTCAACATCCTTGTAAGAGGCAGGTCAGGCTGAGGCCACACAGACGGTTGGAGCCTGTGTCCCCGCTCAGAGCGGGAGGGGCCCTGCATCCTCGCTCCTCTTTGTTCCAAGAGGACTCGCCCTTCCTCGGAGAGGCGGGGTTAGTGGCTCAACGCCCGTGCACGGGGGATGATGGTGTGTCATTTAAGGAGAAATCACGTACAGCACAGCGTCTGCGCTAATCGGAGTCGTACGGAAGAGGCTCTCAGAAGGCCAAGGACCGCGCACGAGCTCTGTTGGCGGGGTGGACGGCAGCCCTGACGTCTGCCAGCAGCTAGAGCCCATAATTGCTTTCATTTAAAAACAGCCCAGGGTATACGGCATAAACAACGTAACTGGTAAAACCTAAGTCCCAGCAGGTGTGGAGAATGTATGTTGTAACGTATGTACGTTTTCTTGGGAAGAACACATTTATCTTAAAAGAAGACCACCAGCTAAGACTCATCCAGGCAGAGAAGCCTCGCTCCACAAGCTTGATCGTGTTCAGTCGGAGAGCTTTCACACGGGGGTGAAAAAGCCAGCCCGCCATGCTCGACGTGGACCTGTTCCACGGGTGGGCCGATGTTGGCCTCAGTGATTGATGAGGGTTCAGGTTCCTTTCTGGGAGACACCCTGGGCAGGTGTCTGGGATGAAGGAGAAACGCATCCCCTTGCCTTTGCCTCTGACCGCGTGCACCCAGCGGCTGCTCGAGCTCACGGGCAAGCAGATCCCAGCTTCAGGAGAAGGACCGGCCACAGCTCCATCAGTTTCACGAGATTGTCCTTGGGGCACAGGATGCGTGTGGCTGCCAGCTCTGACCTCAGGACACTATGGTTACACGCGGGGCTCAGGCTATGCTGTCTGTCCGTACCTTCGAGAAAGCTGCGTCACCTGTGATCGTTGGCAGGCGAAGATTACCTTTTCCAACGAGGTGTGGATGGACGGCATTCCTGCGGACGTCGAGTGAAGCGCGGCCCACTGGAGAAGAACCAGCCTCAGAGCAAAGCCCGTGGATCGACCTTCAGCTGTGCATCTGCCGCTGAGCCCGCACCTTCCCCGTGGCACCCGTGGCACCCGTGGCACCAGCACTACCCCTCACTGGCCCGTCACGATGCGCACTCATTTTTCTGACATCGGGGATCCAGAATGGGGTGTAATTTTCTGTTTTTACATCCCGGTCTCCCAGTCATACATGAACGAGGAAGCTCAACTCCGGGTACGCAGACACGTCCTAGGGGCGATTGGGGCTCTGTGCACGGCTGGGTGCCGGGCCCGTGCTCAGGTCCTGCAGAGCCAAGGCCGCTTCCCGCATGTTCTCGTCCGACCTCCCAGCGCTTGGCAGAGAACAGTGCCCAGGGCTTATCTCTGGTTTCCTCCCACCACATTTCTGGGGTAGACCAGGTGGGCCACATTCTTCTTTGTCCTGATCCACGCTCCCAGCGACTCACAGAACCACGGTGACCACCGCAGAACCGAGCCGGGTGCTGGTCAGGTGTTCTGCTCGCAGACCCTCCCGCGTGAAGTGTTGGCAGTGTGAGCGAAAAGCGAGGAATAGCAGCTGTCCCGTGCCGTTCCACATCGGGGTGAAGGGAGGTGCTCCGGCCGCCTCCCTTCATCCCAGGCACGCGGCTGAGCCCGGGGACCCCAGGACTACGTGCCGGCTGCTGCCGGGACGGCCACGGGAGCCAGGGCCTGATACCGTGCCAGGGTCCGCGGAGCGCGTGACATCGTGGCCCCGTGTCCGCTCAGACACTCAGCTCCCCAGACGTAAGGAGGACAAAGCATGTGCGGTGGCCCCTCCGTCCTCCGCTTGCCGGCTCTCGTGTGTCACCCAGTGCCCGTTTACCGTATCCCACCCGCGTGGTGCTCCTCTTCCCGCGCACCCGCTCGCGTTCAGATTAGCTCACTGTTTTTCACTTTTCTTGTCATACGCCATCCGGAATTAGTGACCCTCTTTTTGACCACGTTAATAATCAGCAGTGATGATTCATTATGGTGATTTATCCTGTGAAATATGGGGATTACAAGGTGTAACGTTTAAGCTGCCGCGTGGCTTCTCCACGCCTGATTAGCAGGAAGCAATCATTCAAGTGGCTTTCAGTTCCAAATCTGAGCCAGCCCCGGGCACACGAGATTTGGGATGCTGAAAGGGGTCCGGAAACGGCACAAATAGGACAAGACCAGACGTTCACGTGATGTTCTAGGGTTCTCCCATTCGGAAGCAGGTGACCTTCTGTTTTATTTCATTACACGTAGAAGACGAAAGCTTTCTAACGTGGAAACGTTCAAGAATGTGTAGGAGGTCAGAGGGTGCTGTGATGAGGCTCTCACGCCCTTGTCACCCCAGCGGCTCCCCCCGGGTCCCACGGTCCTCCACCAGCGTTGTGAAGCAGATCCTGAACAGCCCTGGGTTTTCATCTGTAGACACTTCGGGAGACAGAAGATGGGGTTTTAACCAACTGAGCCACCCAGGCGCCCCGGGAAGATGGGGTTTTAAGTGGGAGCTTTTTCCATTAATGTGATTTTGGTACTGAGTAACATAGGTCCTTGGGGACATTTTTGATTCACAGATAGTGAGTATGGGCGTGGGTGCTGGGCAGTAGGTCGGTTTCACGGGGTGGGGCCTTAAAAACAGTTCCATCTTGGAATCGGGAAATCTGTGAAGGATCACGGATCATTCCAGGCTGGTCACAGAAACACAAAAGTGAGGCATAAATGCTGTGACTGCCTAATAACTTACGTTCCTTTTAAAAGTTAAGGGAAAGTGACTTTTTCATTATGGCCCATTTAAAAGAAAAAAACTTATTTATCTTTCTTAAAAATGTAAAAAGGTTCCCTGTGTTTGTACTGTTTGTCGAGCTATAGAATTTTAATGTCCCGTTATGTTTTCAGCACCAGTTTAAGCCAGAACTTTGAACCCAGCTGCACTCCTTCAGGGCTCATGCTAGCATGCTTACTTTATACAGGAAAAACTAGAACACAGTCCTGAAATAATTTGCTAAAATTTTCTTGATTTTTAAGTGTCAAGACCATGCTGGATACGGGGTCTGACTCCACAAAGGCTGTGTGTTTTGCAGTGGAACAAAGAGTAAATATTTTCTGAATTCCATAGAGTGGCCAAATTATCCCGAGGTAGGGTAGCAAATTAAGAATTCAAAACATGGCTTTTTTGTTTTTGTTTTTTGGGGGGGTTTGGGGGGGACACATTGTCTATATTTTGGGAGAATTGGCTGTCGGGGTTGGTTTCTGTTTTTGTTTTTCTGTAATGGAGAAACGGAGGTGAAGAAGATCTAGCTCTGTGTTCTCTACCCTCTCTTAGTGTCTGTGGCTACATTTCTGATCAGGAGACCTTCTGTTTGGTTCTCAGTCTGTTTGCACTCAGATGGAGAAAGCCTTGTGCACGCTTGACAGAATCCAACACCATTGCTGATGAAGAGTTTCAGCAAACTAGGAATGCAGGAGAATTTCAACTTGATAAAGAGCATCTGTAATAGACCCATAGCTAATACTATCCCTGATGGTGAAAACTGAGATGCTTTCACCCCAGGACCGAGAACGATGCCGATTTCCCTCTTGCCACCCCATTCAACGGCTTTACTGGATGTCGTGGCTAATACAGTGAGGAAGGGAAGGGGTGCAGGATAGGCAGACTGGGCAGGAAGAAGCAAGGCAAGTGGCATGAAGGTCTATGGAAAAAATCCCAAAGAAAACTCCCAACAGAATCTGTTGGGACTTAGGAACCATAAGACCAAGGCCAGCAGCAAACAGTTGAATTCAGAACTTAAAATTTTCTGGCCTTCAAAAGACACTGTTAAGCCACTGACTGAGGAAATGTTTGCCAAACATATGGCCTGTAGATGCCAGGTGTCTGGCGGTACGCGGAAGGGGAAAGGTGCTGGGGGGTCGGACGCGGTGGGGTCGGGCAGTACACGGAGGGGAAGGGTGCTGGGGGGGTGGGGTTGGACATGGTGGGATCGGGCAGTACGTGGAGGGGAAGGATGCTGGGGGGTCGGACGCGGTGGGGCCGGGCAGTACACGGAGGGGAAGGGTGCTGGGGGGTCGGACGCGGTGGGGCCAGGCAGTACGCGGAGGAGAAGGGTGCTGGGGGGGCGGGGTTGGATGCGGTGGGGCCAGGCAGTAGGCGGAGGGGAAGGGTGCTGGGGGGTCGGACGCGGTGGGGCCAGGCAGTACGCGGAGGAGAAGGGTGCTGGGGGGGCGGGGTTGGATGCGGTGGGGCCAGGCAGTAGGCGGAGGGGAAGGGTGCTGGGGGGTCGGACGCGGTGGGGCCGGGCAGTACGCAGAGAGCTAACAGACAAACACCAACACAGTGTTTACTGGGGGGTAATGACATCCGGGACATTGTTGTTCTCAACGCAGAAGGTAAGGAAACTGGTCTCCTGAGGCAAAGATGAGAAGTCTGGAGGGTAGGTGGTGGCCAGCACTCCCTGTCCGCCCTCCACTCCCTGCACGCGAGGAGGTGTGCGTGGGGCCGTCTCCACCCTGGGACACGGCGGCCTCACGACGCTGACTTGGAGTGTCGCTTTCTGTGACCAGCCAGTGACGCTGTCACAGACAGAAGAGAAGGAAGTAATCAGGGAGGGATGCCGAGCACGTACGTGTTAACGATCAGAGGTTTACGCTTTATGAAACATATTTTAATGGTGAAACTATTGTTAGGCTGTTTTGCAGGACATGGGATTACCTGGGGTTGGGTAACTCGTGCTCTTTTGGAATACCTGTTCTATGTTAGCTGTTCATTTTTGTGGTCAACAAATGGATAAAATACCTACAGAACACCCTAAACGTTGACTTGTGAGTTCTGTATCTAAAACTAAACATTTTGTGCTTTGAAATCCAGTGCGGTCCTCATGTAGTAGACACTAAAAAAGTAAAATGTGATTAAAATGACACGTTTTTGCTTTTCTTTTATACAGTACACATTTTGGAACTTCATACCCAAGAACTTATTTGAACAATTCAGAAGAATAGCCAACTTTTATTTTCTTATCATATTTCTGGTACAGGTAAGACCAGCTGTCTTTTTTTTAATCACCTCAAGTGTAAAGTCTAATAAGCAACACTTTATTCTCAGGAGATTAACTATGGTTTGCTAACGAGAAAGAGCAGGGACCTGGAGCCCTTCATGTCTCCTTCATGGACAACTGTGTTGGTTCAGAGAGGCGTCTAAGCTGAAACAGACATGTGAACAGTCTGCCTTGGGGTTGGGTCTGGCCACCTTCCAGTCCTCGAGGCAAAATCAGGAGCCCCCTGATCTTTAGGGGAAACTGAGCAGCCACGCTAAGCGTTGTTGGGTGGATCCTCCTCCTCAGTGCGCGTGGGGAGAGCGAGAAGAGAGAAAACCACAGTGGGGTCTGAACGAGGGAGCAGGGATCTGATGTGTTTTAAGACTAGCAATCTAATTTTTCTCAATCATGCAAAATACAGCAGAAGGACTTTTAGAATGTCCCCAACATTAAGTTATTCAAATAATGTAATTGAAGTGTGGGACCAAAAGCAGAGCAGTGAATTAAAATAAAATGCACGGCACAGTCAGGCTTCCGTCTTGGCCGCTGTTAGCGTGGTTTCCTTAAGCAGGTCCCTGAACTAGAGCAAATCACCCTCACTTTCGTGGCAAATAGAGTGACTTACCCCTACTCTGACTTATCTCTAGTGAGGGAATAAAGTGAGTTTAAAATAAGCGAAAGCAAATGTTTCTGTTGGTGTCGTAGGCCAGCCAGTCTAAGTCGCTAGGACGTGCTTTGAGGCTCTGTGATTCTGCTTTAATTGCAGTTGATCATCGACACCCCCACGAGCCCCGTAACCAGTGGGCTTCCGCTGTTCTTTGTCATCACCGTCACGGCTATCAAACAGGTAAGACGTCTGCAGAGAAAGGGAGGGCGGCGCCATCTCATTATATAATGTTGCCTTCTGTCCAAAGCAAGATCATCTGGTTTGCTTTAGCTAGCTCACAGGAAATTTAGCTAAGTTCTAGAAATTCATTTGGGTAATTGTCTTAGATTGACACTTGAGCTAAAATAAGAGAGATTAGGAAACGTAGCAGCTAAGGTGGCATCCTGTGAGTCTGAGGAGGAAACCAAGGTTTTCATGTTCAGAACCAACCAGAGATGGAATCGAGTTTTAGAAGAGTTTCTTAGCCTGTCCACACTCTGGACTGTCTGAACCGCAAGGACCTGCTGTGCCCAGAGCCCGGGCTGTGGTTTCCTAAGCGAGCTTGTGGACTCCTAACTCAGGGCGTGCCTCGGGCTCTTCTCCCTGGTCCCGGTCGCTGACAGGGAGAAGAACATGTCTCGGTTATGTCCACTGTTCATCTGGCCATCTCTGTGCTGTAGCCATCAGCTCTGTCTGGATCCAGAAAATTCCCATCCCCTCGGAAGGAGGCCCTGTACCCGCAAGCAGTCCCTGGCGTCCCCGCCCCAGCCCCCGCCAGCCGCCGGTCTGCCTTTTGTCTTCCGCCGTGTGGGTGCGAGCAGCTCTCTGTGCTTGTGGTGTGCCCTTCCTTGGTGACTAACGATATGGAGCATCTTTTCCCGTGCTTATTGGCCGTTTGTGTGTATTTCTTCAGAAACATGTCATCAAATCCTTCATCCATCTTAAAATTGGGTTTTCTGTCTTTTGATTGATGAGTTGCAAGAACTCCTTATATGTTCCAGAAACAAGTCCCTTATCTGCTGCAGGCTGTTGAACCTAATGATGTTTGCATTTCAGGGTTGATAGGTCGACTTTTCATTTGGGAGATCTGGATAATTTGTAAAATGGCAGCTTCTAGTGACATTATGGATGGTCCAGTTCTTGCTGACAAAGCCATGCTTTTCTGATGTTTGTCTTTAAATAAAAATAAAGAAAACGAAACATGTATTTTACGTGAGAACAGCCACTGGATGACAGTGGTATGTCAGTACCGCAGAGTGATTTTCTCTAGATTGAGGAAAAAACGTAGAACGGAATCAGGTTACCTTCTAGTGTGTGTGTAAAGAGCACCTCCGGGCCGCGTTCTGTCAGCCCTGCTCATCTTCAGTACGAGAATGTCTGCAGAAGTATTTTTTTTTAATATAGAACGGTGAAGAGCATTTAAGGATGTGTCTTCATTTCAATTTGGGTTTTATATCTCACTCACCAGTAATCTGGAAATAGAGATTTGAACAAAAATGATTTTACTTCATACCCATTAGATTGTCTTTTAAATGTAAAAGCCTGAAGAGCAACCAAGGATGATAATGTGGTCAAGCGCATGCACCTGCTGCTGATGGGAGCATGGTGGCGCCATCTTGGAAAACCATTCGGCAGTAACTGATGGAGCGGAGGCCGTGAATGCAGTTAGTGTGTATTATATGCATCTCAGAATAGACCACAGAGGCCCGGCGATGCATCCTGGGATGTTCATTGCCTGCCTCTTTGGGGAAGAAAAACTAGGGACAGGTTGTTCTTCAGTGAGGCAATGGGCAGCACATTTGTTGTGGAGGGGGGGATTGCAGGGGAAGGTGCAGTGATTGAAATGAGTGAGCCCCTGGCTTCCCACCGCTCCACCTGCCCCCTATCTCTCTCCTCCTCACCTTCCCCGACCTCAGGATACCTCCATACTCTGGCTCCTACCCTGGACAACTCAGATGCCCTCAGCCCTCCCCTCCTCAGCCCTGTTCCCTGGTGACCCCAGCCAACACATACAGGGGATCCGATTCCCTTCCTTGCAGCTCAGGAAGCCCCTTTGGGGAGCCTGGCATCTGCTAATCCCAGATGTGCCTCATCCCCCCTGGGTGCCAAACGCATCTGACCCCCCTCTATTCAAATCTCCAGCGACTTCAGTGAGTTGGGCTCACCCTCCCGGGCTGCCCACCCTGCCTGGCTTTCTGCATGCCCCACACTGTCTTCAACCTTCCAGGCCAGCCTGGCCCTGGCCCCTGTCCCCACCCACGTTCAATCCTGCGCCCTCATGCCATTTACCGTGGTGTCACCTACTCCTTTCCGGGCAAGCGCTGAGCATCCGCTGGGGGCCAGCTCAGACCCTTCTCCTCTGAGCCCCCCCACACACATTTGCACACATGTGCTGTGGGGCCTGTGACACACTCACTGGGTCAGGGAACCAGGTGAGGCTCACGCCTGGGCCTGCAGGAAGGAGAACGGGAGACCCCCCCACCCTGGTCCTCCTGCCTGAGTGAGGCCTCGGCCAGGGCGCTGACAGTGAGCAGCTAGGCGTGGCCATCCCAGTGGTCGAGCACAGACAGTAGACATGTGTCCCACAGGAGAATGTCCAGAAGCCTCTGAAGGTGCCAGGGGCCGTGAAGAAGTGGGTACCCACGGTCACGGCCCATCCAGCTGGGTCCAGAGCGGCTGGCTCAGGGCTGAGGGCTCTCAGCGGACTTGGGCTCCACCACATGGGCGTCTTCTCTCCCCTTTAGGGCTATGAGGACTGGCTTCGCCATAAGGCAGACAACGCCATGAACCAGTGCCCTGTGCATTTCATCCAGCACGGCAAGCTGGTGCGGAAGCAGAGCCGAAAGCTGAGGGTAAGCAACACTGGCACATTTCTTCAGCCAAAACCGGGAACAGTTAAAAGCCAAAAAGCAGCAATGCAGCAGGGTTTTAATTTAGCCAAACCTGTGCCTGGAATTGCTTCTTTACTGGGTACAGTCCCGACCACATCCCCAAACCCTTCTCACTAAAGCTAAGCGCCTACCACTGTTTCCTTAACTTTAATTTTACTCATTTTAAGTTGTAATAAGCTTTCTTTTTTAGAGCAGTTTAATTCCGCAGACCCCATCAGGGTTGCCTGAATTTTAGGAGATTGTTCCAACCAGTCAGGACAGAGGAAGGTCTAGGACGCTGTTGGAAAACTTGTCCTAGAACGGAAACTCTGAGATGAGGAACGGAAAGCTCACTGAAGGTTGTGTTTTCATTCCCGGTTGCAGTGAGCTGTGAGTGTAACTGATGCATCGGTATCTGCTTAAACGTTTGATTATGTCACTCACATGGCTGGTTTTCACACCTGCACTAGCCAGTGGGAAGCACCTGCGTGCACAGCAGCTGGCGGTGTGGATGCCAAGGCTTGTCCCTGGCGAGTGTCAGCTGTGAGCCCAGGGATGGAGCCCGGCTGGGCCCTCCTGCCTCCTCCTCATCCCCGGCTGCGTATCATCTCTGAAGCCCCTGATCCCCGCACCCCATGCCCCTCCCCTCTCCCTACCCGCACTTCCCCTCCCTCTCCATCCCATCCCCCCTACTCCACCCAACCAAAACCCACCTGAAGGCCTGCTCACATGTCACCAGCACATGGCCATCTTTGTGAACCTAGTCCAACATGTATCATACACACTATTGTATGTATTTTTAAGATTTTAAGCAACATTTTCTTTGTTTTTATTTTTGTTTTTTTAAGTTTTTTTTAAAAGTAATCTCTATGCCAAACATGGGGCTTGAACTCACAACCCTGAGATCAAGGGTCTCATGCTCCACCAACTGAGCCAGCCAGGTGCTCCTGCATCTTCTTTATTTTATAAGTTTTCCTGACCAGGTGTTTTAGGACTTCTGACTGAGCTCCCCTCACTTTACCTGGACTGGTGATGATTTCTTGGCCGTCATGGGCTCTGGAACGGAATGCTGGTGGGGCCCTGTGCACATATTAACAGACTAATTCAGACCCTAAGCCCTTCACGTACTTCCCCTTAATGACCGTATTTCCTTGGCAAAGCCTCCTATACTTTTAATAAACAGACCTAAATAGCATCAACCAGCAGAAAATTGCATTTTTAATGCCTTGATCTCCTATGGGAAATGTCTGTTCTGTAGCCGGCCAGTTGGAGCCGAGAGGGCTCTGCACGGACAGTGTGAGACAGGGCCAGGCTGGCGGAGGTGCCTGAGGCCATTCGAGAAGAGTCTCCAGTGGTCCGTCGCTAAGATCACGTTATCTCAAGACTGTCACGGCGTAAATGGAATCACATAGGCTGCATTTGGGGACTGGTCCTCCATTCAGCCCGTTCCTCTGAGTCCCATCCCCTCTTGTGCATCAGGAACCCCTCCCCCCACCCACCCATCACAGCTGTTCACACCCACCAGTTGAATTTTCTAGATCGACACCTTCCTGCAGGAATAATTCCCACTCAGACTCATTAACAAACACTTGAACTTGTCCGGCTTAGACTCAGTCAAGGATAATCGGGTTATGGGAGTTTGTCTTTGTTTTCGCCGCAGAATATTCCATCGTAATACGCTTGGATGCTTCGTGGGTCTAAAGTTGGTCATCGAGACCCTCGCATGGTCTTTCCACCGGTTGGGCAGAATCCCGGCACACAGTCCTTCCCTAGAGTGCCTTCCCATCCATACCTCTGCCTGCAGACCCCAAGGCCCCTGCACCGCAGGGGCTGCCACACCGAGGCTGTCTGTCTGTCCTGCAGGTCGGGGACATCGTCATGGTCAAGGAGGACGAGACCTTCCCCTGTGACTTGATCTTCCTCTCCAGCAGCCGCGGGGATGGGACCTGCCACGTGACCACCGCCAGCTTAGATGGAGAATCCAGTCACAAAGTACCGTGCCTTTCATTTGGGGCCGTGCGCGGGGCACCATGGTTGCAAACCCAGTGTTCCCGGGGGTTACGGAGAAACGGGGGGAGCTGGGCCAGCCACACGGCTCCTCACTTTGATTCTCCCCACATCCCACCGCTGCCTGTTCCCCCACAGGGTCCATAGCCACCAACCACTCGGGTTAACAGAAGTGACTTCATGTTAGTTCTTAGCTGTGTCACTGAGTGGAGGGACCAGGATGCAAGGAGTAGATTGTGGGAATTTGGAAAATTTTCATTTTACTGTCAAAATTAGTGTCTTCACTAGATGGGATTATGTGAAAAGTCACATGGGAGTCTAGATTTTTGAGGACTATCACTTTAATGAGTGTCCTTTCGTTCAAGTATCTTAATAAGGATTTTCTGAACTTAGAATTAAGTTCTTATGCTCAGTATGGAATTCTGTACGGCCAGTTGGTGCTACGAAACTTTAACAATCGCAAAAGAATAGAACATGTCACTATTTAAAGATTTCATTAATTTTAAAACAATGGGAGCTTCCGAGGAGTTTAAGAAATTAGTGAGCGTGGCTCAGTGGACCCAACCATGTCTGAGGCATTGGTCAATGGCAATTAATGGTGGGATTTCTATGGTGGGAAAGAGATATTTTCTTCCTTTTATGGGTAATTCATATCATTGTATAAACCCTGTGGGACTTTTGGGGCACCTTTCCTATGTAGGCGTCCCGAGAGGGCTAATATTCTGGCACGATCGATGGTGTTTGTGGGGGGTGGAAGCCCCCGGGAGAGCCAGGTGACTGTGGTGTCAGGTGTCTGAGTGTGGGGATCACGTTCCCGTGTCCCTGACACCCGGTGAGCCACGTGGACCCTGGCTGTTGGCACCGGGTGGCCCCTCGTGCCCGTCCTGTGGAAGGGATGCCCCAGCATGGCTAGCACCTCTCGTGCGGTTGTGCTCAGCGTCCTGTGTGCTCTCTGACGTCACATCTGCACATCTGACCAGGGCTGGGCGCTGGAGTTACTGAGCTCCTCCCGTAAAAGACACCAGGGCTCCCGCACTGGTCACGGTCACGGCCCGTGTGACCTTGGGCAGGCATTTTTTTTTTTTTTTAAAGATTTTATTTATTTGACAGAGACACAGCGAGAGAGGGAACACAAGCAGGGGGAGTGGGAGAGGGAGAAGCAGGCTTCCGGCAGAGCAGGGAGCCCGACGAGGGGCTCGATCCCAGGACCCTGGGACCATGACCCGAGCTGAAGGCAGACACTTAACGACTGAGCCACCCAGGCGCCCCTGGGCAGGCATTTTTAACCTTTGCAGTTTTCACGTCCTTAAATGGGGACAGACCTGTCTTGCAGGGGCTCTTGTAGGATGTACTTAGAAAATTTCCTGACGTCCCAGGTGTGCAGTAAGGGCCCCAGCGTGTTCTAAAAGCCACTCCTGCTGTGATTTACGTCCCGCCTGTTTTGGCCTGTGGCGCCCTTTCCCGCCCAGCACCTGACTGCCGGGAAGATGAGCGGACATTCAGAGACGCACTATCTCCACAGGCCCTCGCGCTCGGGCTCCCAGCCCACCTGTTCCCGTTGGTGATGCCGTCCGGGCCGGTGCATCCACACTGCCTGGGTCATGTTAGAAATGCCGTTCTCGGGCCCCCCAGACCCACTGCATCGGAAGCGGGGGGCGGCCGGGCAGTCGGTGTCCCGCGAGCCCGCCAGGGTCTGAGGCGCACTCAGGTTTGCGGGGCCGTCGGTGGATGCCGAGCGCGGGGCTGTGCGGGGAGCGCGCCAGGCCCGAGCAGTTCGCGATGCCGGGGACGGCCCTGTGCACACGTAGGCAGCATGTGAGGAAGAGGAACACTGACCCCTAGATTTGTTTCCTGACGGGTAGCCGTCACAGGGACAGATGCAGGTGTCCCGTTTTGAAGAAGCTCTCCCAGGGCTTGAGGGCAGTGGGCGAGCGGGCCGGTGGAGCCTTGTGCTTCCGTCACTTGTTAACATCCCCACACCCTGTCTGCGTTTCCTGGTACGTGACTTCCGTGTTCATAGTTCTCTCTGACACGGCACCGAGGCTCCGGACTCGGGCTTAGTTACAGGCACGGCAGGCGCCGGCTGTCAGCTGCGCGTCCCTTGTTGGGCTGTGAATTCACCGTTCTTGTCGATCCGCAGACCCACTATGCCGTTCAGGACACGAAGGGGTTTCATACTGAAGAGGATATAGACGGCTTGCACGCCACGATTGAGTGTGAGCAGCCCCAGCCCGACCTGTACAAGTAAGTCTGGGCGGCGTTCCCTGTCGCCGCCGCTCCCCCTGCCCCAGCTGCTGTCTGCTCTCCACCCCGCCCGTCTGGAAAGCACGTACGTCGCTGCTTAAAAATTGAGACCGAGCCACAAATAAAACAGTTCACTTAATATTCTCATAGTTCAGCAACATTAAAATCTGTAGCTATTTGTGCAAATATTTGGACTGGCTTAACGGAACTAAGTTTATTGAAGAAAAAGAGATTTTCTGTAATTTGAGGAACCAATTTTAAGGAAAATCCTTGGAGTCATGGGCGAATGAGGACAGAAAGTAAGAGAAGAAACAGGGAGGAAGCCAGTGAGCTTTTGAGCAGGAACGCAGCCCTGGAGCGGAGCGGGCTCCCGCCCTGGAAGCTGGAGACGGGTGCGGACGGCGCGTGGCCGGCCCCCCTCCCGCCCCAGCTGCGTGGCACTGATCTGACTTCTCGTTGCCAGGTTCGTCGGCCGCATCAACGTCTACAACGATCAGAACGACCCCGTGGTGAGGTGAGGACAGCGACACTCTTGTCATCCGTGCTGTCAGATTACAGGGAATTCTCTTTCCGATCAGAGGCTTTCCTTGTTGCTGCTCCGTTGGGTTTGGGAAGTAGAGTTCTGCTTTAGGGAAGGTCCAGGTCCTGCTGTCTTCTTTGGTTTCTCTTGTGAGCATAGCTGTTGGTGCCAACAGGCTGATGGCGCTCATCGGAAGCAGTGTTAGGGGCCCAGCTGACTGAGCCGCTGCCCCTGAGAAGTGCCCTTCAGCCTTTTTGGATGAGGTTCTGCCACGAGGCTGGGCCGTTTCTGACTTGAGGCCATCTTACTGGAATGTATCGTCTCCTCGAGATCACCCCCGGGACACTGTTTTCGTTCTAGATTCTGTCTAGATTTAAGAGGATGTGTCTCATCTAGGGACCGTGTAGGTGGCAGGTGGGTGTGCTCTCCTGCTTCATCATAGCGGTCTGGGATCCGTCACACCCGCAGGTTGTGACAGGGACCCGCACCCACGAGGTGGCAGCGCCCCAGAGCCAGCCAGTGCCGGACGCGTGTGGTCCGCTCTCATCCGGCACCGGCTTGCCACGTCCCCAGGCCTGTGGGTGTGTCGTCTGGACATAGTGTCCAGGTCTGGTGGGTCTTTGCTGTCGAGGTGATCGAGACGGACAGGGTAGGAAGTTGACTTGGAGTAGGATTTGGAGCTGATGTTTTCTGTAACCCCTGCCTCTCCTGTGTTGGAGAAATCATTTTTCTTTCCACTTAAGCGGTCTCCAGATTGTCGATGTCCTGGTGTTACCTTGTGTGTCAAGGAAAACGGTTGCCTAGAAGTAGAAATAATCTCAATAGGAAATAGATGGTAATAAATGTAAGACCCTAGGGCCCCTCTTGAAATTGTGTGTTTCATGGAAATGGTTTGTGCGCTTCATGGGTCATGACCAAGCTCCATCAGCACGTTCACGGTGCTTCTGAGAGGTCGTGGAGGCACGGCTGTGGTCTTCCCGGAACAGATGCTAGTCTACAGGATGTTCCTAGTTTCTGTGCAGAAACAACCTGCATTTCTGTGTCTCGTGAGAAGTACTGCTGGAAGATGAAGTAGATTTGGATTTACTCAGAGTGCCGCTGGGACGAAGCAGAAGAAATAAACGCTGTCGGCTTTTCCTGCTTCACGTTCAGACAAAGTTTAATGCTGAGTAGCTTGGGAAGGTCATAACTAATATATTTCACATGTTGATACTAATTCTTTTTTGCTCTTTAAGTACTCACACTATTCAGCAGGCTTTTAATATTTGGGTATTACAGGTATTCATAAATTCATGATGTGAACGGTGATGAATTATATATCGCAGTCTTCATCCGTTCAGAGTGGTACTTCTTTGTCCTCCTGTCCAAACTAGAAGCAAAGTACTTTTTAAAATACATTATTTTTTGACCTCCCAAAGACACTTTTATTTATTTATTTATTTATTTATTTATTTATTTATTTATTTAAAGATTTTTATTTATTTGAGAGAGAGAATGAGAGAGAGAGCAGGAGAGGGGGGAGGGTCAGAGGGAGAAGCAGACTCCCTGCCGAGCAGGGAGCCCGATGCGGGACTCGATCCAGGGACTCCGGGATCATGACCCGAGCCGACGGCAGTCGCCCAACCAACTGAGCCACCCAGGCGCCCTCAAAGACACTTTTAAAAAGGGCCATTTGTTTTCATAAGCATGTTCAATGGGCACTGTGAGCTTGCAGAGGCTGCAGTCCCTGTGAGAGGACTGACAGCGAGTGGGCAGCCCCAGAGCGTCTGTGGCACTTAGGCCCTGCATGAGAGCCACGACCGTGGAGCTGCCCTGGGCAGACGCGCCGGGTCAGGTGTCCCCTGGGGCAGCAGCCTCCCGCCCTCGTCCTCAGCCGGATCTGGGCCCGAGCTGCGACAGCCAACTAGATGGAGCACGCCTAAGTCTGTGGCGTTCAGCAGGCTCTGCACTTACTGTGGTGATGGGACATTTCGTGCACTGAAAAGTCAAGAGCATGGGTCCCTTCACCCTGCAAACGGAATCGGTAGAATGCTGATAGCAGCAACATTGCAGAGTTGCATTCTGCTTCTTACTCTCTTCTACTCTTGGGAAATGAGAAGCAATGAGGAATCCACCAACAGGGGAGTCCCAAGAACACGAACCCCGAAAGGCAGAGACGTGGTCTGTTGCTCACTGTTGAGTCTTGAGTGCTTAGGGCCTGCTTGTTCTTCATGAGTGATCTTTAACTTCCTTGGTTGTTGCTGCCCCGAAGTAGCAGGTGCAAGGGAGGTTCCAGATTGGGAGGCCACCTGCGTGCAGAGGGTCCTTGTGCGTTTGGCTGCCGTGTGGATGAATGCACACGGTGTTCCCATGTTTGAAAGTAAGACCGGATCTCGCAAGACTCGTGGAGTCTCCCTGAGGATGTGCTGGGAACAGCTGAATCCTCTTGAGTCACAGACACCACCTTCTCAGAAATTCGGGGCCCTTCAGTTGGTCTGGGTGGGCTGGGAGCCCGCATTCCTGACAAGGCCCCGCCAGAGAGCGGGCACCTCGAAGAGCCACCCGCTGGGTCCTTCCGCACAGCAGGTCTTACCTCCCAGGGCAGAGGCCACACTCTCACACGGAGCCAGGCTAACTTTCGTAATCCAAATATAAGCTACTCCACGTTTAAATGATCGCCTCTTGAAACCGAGTCTGTTAGGCACAGGCCTTGGTTTCCCACCCTCGAGTACCTGCTTCTGTCGCCCCCTTGCCCTACTCTGCTCCTCCTATCTTTGCAGGCCCCTGGGGTCGGAGAACTTGCTTCTCAGAGGAGCCACGCTGAAGAACACCGAGAAGATCTTTGGTCAGTGTCTCAGTGAATCATTACTAACAGCTTCTAAAATTAAGGGTGCATTGAGCAGTTAAAGTCCGTCGTGCTGCCGTGAACACGTCTCGCCGTGCTCTGAGCTGGTCCCTGTGGCAGGGGTCATCAGCCTAAGAAAACCCGTCCTGGCGGATCGCCACCACCCACGAGGCAGTGGTGTTTGAGGGTTGCTTGCGTATTGAGTGTCTGCGGTTTCTGACTCAGAAACATAAATTTATGTCCATGAGAGAACTCACACAACACAGTTCCGCAGGAGATTTCTTTTACAGGCTGCATTTCTCTGGTAGTATCTCCCGTCTCTGTGGGTTATTTTTGTCTTTTGAGACAATTTAAAAGTATGCATGTGTGCCCTGTTTCAGAAAACCCAATATAGTAAAATCTAATCTTCAAGAAAAAGAGATTAATCTCCATGCAGGAAAAAAAAAGTATTTCTTTAGTCTGAAGAATCCTGTTGTGGGACTCTTTATGAACAGCTAGTTTGCCTAATGAAGTTTAAAATATGATTTGTCCACAATTCAGTTTTACTGTTGCTGTGTGTGACTTCCTATGTGAAGGCGAGATCTGCCTGTGTGATTGTTCTAACGTTGACTTTTCTGCTTTACAGGTGTTGCTATTTACACAGGCATGGAAACCAAGATGGCATTAAATTATCAGTCAAAATCCCAGAAACGATCTGCTGTAGAAAAGTGAGTCTCGGGACCCCTTTGAAGTGCGTAAAGCTCCATGACCTAAAACCATCATGAGCCCCTATAGACGTGAAAGCATTTTCCTTCTGGCTCCATTAGTAATTCCATCGTGGTCTCTAGGGAGCTGGTCACACTGGGTGTTAGATAGACAGTCTTGTTCTGCGGGGACACAAGTGACCACACACCTTCGGCCCACGTCTGCAGGCTCCCTTGTGTGGATGGCTATAGTCCTGACAACTCCTCTTGCCGATTCATGAAAACGTCAAAATTGGGTCACTTTTAGCTTTGGGTTGTTTCCTGAGGAAAGCATGAACAGAGAAAACAGTGTTCTTTTCACGAAACGGTAAAATCTGTACTATGATAAACCAAGTATAGAGTTGAATTTGTGAGAAAACGTGGTCCAGAATTTTGTCTTACTTGCCTTTTGTTCATGTGTATCCCTGACTTGAAGTGGTTATAAGTTACTTAATACAGAGCTATGCGGGACTTGGGGATCTTTGGGAAGACTGTGAGGGTCACTTCTGCCTGCCCTCAGCAAGTTGCTCTCAGTGCGATCATGGGTCTCTCTGTCCGTTGACAGCTGTACCAGATGTGAAAATGGAGATTTGGCTCTCAATAAGCAAGAATGATTTGTTTCTAGATGTCTACACTGATGAATAGGTTTCAGAAATAGATACTGGAAAATCAGGCCTTCTTCACAAGATCCGCTAAGACATTGGCCAGGGATTCAGTAATTTTCCAGTTCAGAGGGCATTTCCCTCCCTCCTTCCCTGGTGGTAATCTCTAAATTTGGCACTCCCTGGCTGACACTTCATGGCAGAAGACTTGACTTCTGGATGTCCTAAGTCATTGACTCCCAGACCACGCGGTCAGCAGTGTGGCTGCGTGCACCGCTCTCCCGTTTTTAAAACTTTCCCTGTGGCCCCTAGAAGCACACGCCTGTGGTCACGGGAGGAACTCAGATACATGCGAGCTTCTGTTCTCGTTCTTACTGTGCCAGCAGATGGTGGGGGGCTCCTTTAAAACACGTTGCTCTGTCTTCACGGTACGTTTGTCTTGACGGGTGAGAAAGGTTCTTCAGCAAGCAATCACTAAGTATCGTTGCTGTCTTGTGTTTTAGATCCATGAACGTGTTCCTCATTGTGTACCTCTGCATTCTGATCAGTAAAGCGCTGATAAACACCATCCTGAAGTACGTGTGGCAGAGCGAACCGTTCCGGGACGAGCCGTGGTATAATCAGAAAACCGAGTCAGAAAGACAGAGGAACCTGGTACGGAACGTGCCCCCCTTTGCAGTGATCAGAGACACCCTGTGGGCTGTTGTTAGGAAAATGTGGCAGGAGAATGTGAAGTCTTGACCGATGACATCTTCGTAATAGAGATTTGGAAGGTGCATCCATTGCCTCCTTACCCTGGTTGCTGCTGTCTTATTTGGGTATTTGCTTGTACGGTCTGGAAAGGGATCGGCTCCCACGGTAAATTCATGAGGGGTGCAGCATGAACGCTTCTAGAACCCAGCACGGCGTCCTGTCTTTAGAGAGTGCCTGTATTTATAAATGGCCACCAGTGCAATCCAAGCAGAACTCTGAGATGCTGGCAAGGGGGTGCGGGAAATCACACAGTGCTCTCTCAGTTCCTCAGGGCGTTCACGGACTTCCTGGCCTTTATGGTCCTCTTCAACTACATCATCCCCGTGTCCATGTACGTCACGGTGGAGATGCAGAAGTTCCTGGGCTCGTATTTCATCACCTGGGATGAAGAAATGTTTGATGAGGACACAGGGGAAGGGCCTCTGGTCAACACCTCGGATTTAAATGAAGAATTAGGACAGGTCAGTACCTGCGGCGTCCTCTTCCCAGATTTGCGGATGATCGCGTCCCTCTGTGTTCTGTTCCCAGGCATGTGGATTCTAGATGATCCCTGTCGTGGGGGCACATTATCCGGATGGCCCAATGAAAAGTTTTCCACCTCCATTCGTTCCTAGAGATGCATCCCACAACTCATGAAACACAACAGCACGTTTGTTTTTTATACTTTATTTATATGACAATTGATAGTGCTTTTCTGTATACAATTTATGCAGAATCAGCTGCGTTAGCTGATTGTTACAAGCTCACCCATGGCCTTGGTAAGTGGTGCTCATTCTGGGTTTTAATGCTGTAAATTTGGTGAGTCCCTACTTTACAAGCATTGCACTCGGCTCTTAGGCCAGATTTCCTTCTCTGAACTCAGAGTGAGCAGTTTTCCTTGATTTAAAGGTGAGCAAAGTGAGACCTCAGCGTTCCAGCGGCTTGGTGTATCGCAGACTTCAGACCCTCATTGCAGCCCTGCTGTTTGCGGACAGTGGTGGCCGAGCTCTGTGCACCTGAGCGTCTTAATCTGTAAAATGGGTGTGATTCCGTATACCTGCCCCAGCACAGTCCTGTGCTGAATGGGGCCTCAGAGCTGCTTCGCTGGGACACCAGCTCCGGAAAGGCTGCCGCCCTGGCCCTGAGCCTTTCCTGAAGAGCGTTTGGTAAACGGTAGTTCACTCATTTATTAAAAAAAAAAAAAAAGTAAGAAATTTGGGGGAGTCGTTTTGCAAACAGGGCCATTTCAAAGATTTTATTTATTTGAGGGAGAGAACGTGCGCACACGGCGGGTGGAGGGGCAGAGGGAGAGAACCTCCAGCAGACGCCTCACTGAGCATAGAGCCTGACGTGGGGCTCGACCTCATGACCTTGAGATCATGACCTGAGGTGAAATCAAGAATTGGATGCTTAACTGCCTGCGCCAGCCAGGCACCCCACAAACAGGGCCGTTTGAGCAGCTGAAATCCACCCCAGAGAGTCAGTCTGTAAACAGACGCTCAGACTCAGCTGGGGAACCCCTGCCTTCACCCCCTTGGGTCTCGGGTACTTGTTACCGAGAGATAACTTGCTTACTGATGAGCACGGGTTTCAGGGCGCCCCTCCGGCACGTGCCGCTCTGCGGGCTATCGTCTGCTCCCAGACAGCCGACGGAAACCCCGACTCGGTCACCCGGCACTAGAATAGTTTTACATCTGCATATTTCACATCCTTGGCAACAGTACACAGTTCATGCTGTGTCTTCCTGAGAAATTCTTAGAGGAAAGCATCTTTCTGTAACAAGAAAAGTGTGGAGCAGTGGTTAGTACAGTGAATTTGACTCAAATTATCTTGTAACACCAGCGTTCTGGAGGTTTGTGGAAAGTTGTTTCAGAAGACTGGCCTTCAGGGGCGCCTGGGTGGCTCAGTCGTTAAGCATCTGCCTTCAGCTCAGGTCATGATGCCAGGGTCCTGGGATCGAGCCCCACATCGGGCTCTCTGCTCCGCGGGAAGCCTGCTTCTCCCTCTCCCACTCCCCCTGCTTGTATTCCCTCTCTCGCTGTGTGTGTCTCTCTCTGTCAAATAAATAAATAAAATCTTTAAAAAAAAAAAAAAGAAGACGGGCCTCCAGGGCGCCTGGGTGGCTCAGTCGGTTAAGCGACTGCCTTCAACTCAGGTCATGATCCCAGGGTCCTGGGATCGAGCCCCATGTCGGGCTCCCTGCTCAGTGCGGAGTCTGCTTCTCCCTCTCCCTCTGACCCTCCCCCACTCGTGCACGCGTGCTCTCTCTCTCTCTCTCAAATAAATAAAATCTTAAAAAAAAAAAATTAGAAGATGGGGGCCTCCCGAGATGTTCGTTATTATTGTTGATCCTCACTCTGAAAAAAGTCAGGTGGCAGTTACTTCAAACAACAGAGCCACCATGCCGGGGACCTGTCACACGCGGGCTCCCTGCTCCTAATTGTCCAGAGCACGGGAGAGGCTCAGTGGTGTTTTGGGCAAGCGTTTGGACTGCAGGTCGTCTGCTGTGTCCTCAGAGCTTACTTGTAGAACCAGGCACACAGGGAAAAGGCATTTTCTGCGGAGGGATTAAGACAAAAGAGAACATCTTGCTGAGACTAAGTGAAGAAGGCAGACCGTGAAACACTTGGCCGGTGTGTCTCTTCTGCTTCCTGCGCTCCTGCACTTTGACCCTTACACTCTGCCTCCTGTGCGTGCGCCGGGGCGCGTGTTGGGGGCAGCGGGCAGGTTTCAGCCAGTGGGGACATCCTCCCGCTGTTCCATCGTCCAGAATTCCACTGTTACTCCTGATGCACACATAACCGGAATTGGGCCCAGTGCAGAGCTTAACACTGGGTATGGTTTTCGGTCTGAAATCTGTTTTGCCCTTTTGTTGTTCTGATTCTCGTGTCCTAAACGGTACTGTGAGCTTTGACCTCCCAGACCTTGCAGAGTAAGTTCAGGTTCATCCTCCCTGTATCCTTGATTTTCTCGTTAGAGAGGATTCAAGACTCCCCCCGCCCCGAGTCTCTCTTTCCAAGAAGCGGCAGACCAGCTCCACGCAGTGCTTCCATCCGTAGACTGAGAGACAACAGGGAAACCGTCGTTTTCTGGGGAGCGCGAAGCTCTCGCCTACACCTCCTACGCGTCTGGATCGGGACCGCTCAGCCCTGGCAGACGCTGGAGGAGGCTGGGGAGCCGGCCCGCGTGCAGTTCCGCCTGCCCCGGCAGGGTGGGGGGCCCGCCCAGAGAGGCCCCTTCCCGTGGGGAACGTTGATGTTAGGAAGCGAGGCTGCGCTGGGCTCTGATTCGGCGGGTGGCTCCTTCTCTGAGAAGGTCATGCAGCCCTGGCCAGCCCCACGCAGCGGCACTGTGTGTCCGCAGGTCGAGTACATCTTCACGGACAAAACCGGTACGCTCACGGAGAACAACATGGAGTTCAAGGAGTGCTGCATTGAGGGCCACGTGTACGTGCCACATGCCGTGTGCAACGGGCAGGTGCTCCCCGGCACCTTTGGCATCGACATGATCGACTCCTCCCCGGGCGCCGGCACCAGGGTAGGTGGCCACGCACCCCCGCATGTGTGTTCCCTGGGGGCCATCACCGCCATGCTGTCCCCAGGTCCCTGAGCACAAGGCAGACCAGCGCCACCCCATGTCCCTGGATCCCCTGGCGACCCGCGTCGGGAACCGTGGCATGCCACCATTTCCTGCCCGTGAGTCCACGGTCACAGCTGTGTGGAAGTCAGGGCATGTGGTGGGCTGAGAGCAAAGTGGCTGTGCACACCATTGTGCTCACACGCGTGTGCACACTCCGGCTCAAGCACGTATGCACATGTGTATGCACACACAGGGACACGTGCGCCCATGTGCACACACACACCCAGGCGTGCCCCCACTCCCCTGTGTATTGCATGTATACACACATGAACGTAGACCCATCCCATGTGCACACATCCTCACGCATGTGCACACACTAACACGTACACGAATGCCTGTCATGCTCACAAGCATGTATGTGCACGCACACACACCCTCGTGTGTGCACACACAGATGCATGTCCCATGTGCTCACATGTGCATTGCATGTACACACATGCACACAAACACATGCCCACGTGCTCGCATGCACACACAGGCACACGTGCACACACGCCCAAGCCCTGTGACTCCAGACCTCAGCATCTCCGGGAGGTGCTGTGACCCCTCACCATGGTCACATGGTCAGTGAGAAGATCATTCCTAAAACCTTGGTGACCGCAGAGCCCTGTGCAGGGTTCCTTGGGGACGCAGGGCAGCTCGCCTTGGCAGGTGGTGCCGTGATACCCCCTAGGGACCGAGGGCACCACCGTATCCCCTGCCACGTCTGCCTCAGACGGTTTCCACGTGGAAACTGCTCTTTCAGGGCAGAGTCTCAGAGGGAGGGCCCGTGGTCTGTGGCCCACGTGGGCCTCAGCCACACCCCAGCGCCCCTGGGAAGGTGGTCAGGGCCCCCGCAGGGCATCCAGGCTCCCGGATGCCGAGTTCACCTCCTCTGACCTTGAGCCGGTGTCCTCACCTCCCCTGCTGAGAAGTGCTGGAGAATGAAGAGAAGCCACGCTTCTACTCCTCCCCGTGAGCACCGGACCCGAGCCTAATTCATGGCTCCTGATGCCCACGGCAGCATGTGCTGTTTCATTGTTCCCTGTCTTCTGCGTATTTTCTGTGTACTTGAGGCTGATATGGCATAGATCTGGGGGGCTTTGTGCCGTGCTTGTGTAGGAGCGAGAAGAGCTGTTTTTCCGGGCCCTGTGTCTGTGCCACACCATCCAGGTGAAGGATGACGATGACGTGGATGGCCCGAGGAAGTCGCCAGACTCGGGGAAATCCTGTGTGTACATCTCGTCTTCTCCTGACGAGGTGGCCCTCGTCGAGGGTGTCCAGAGGTAGGTCCCTGGGCGGGTGTGGCTCGCGGGGGCCGTACCGACACGGTCTCCCCTGACTGTGGGCTGGCCCTGGAGCGTCCAGGGGTGGCCCTGTGCCGGGACCCTGGCTGCAGGGTGGGCGGGCAGGTGGAGGCTTCATGCCCCGTGTCCTCCACCTCCGTGCTGGCGGGTGAGGGTCCCTCCCGCTCACAGCCTGCTGCTGGCGTGAGAAGCAGCCATTACCGCTGCCGGACTCCGTCGCTGTCTTTTCAGCTTCGTCATTTTCCAGAATTCCGTCTTCTGTATCACCTGTTCCGTCTTCTGCTTCCTCACCCTCGCTGTGATTACATCCAGTCGCTTCTGCTTCTCAGTTACAGCATTTTTTATTTCAGCCTGACTAGTTTTTAGGTCTTTTATCTCTGCAGACAGGGTTTCTCCGTGTCCTCTATGCTTTTTTCAAGCCCAGCATTCTTAGGACTGTTCTAAATTCTTGTTCAGGCGCATTGCTTATGTCTGTTTGGAGTAAATGCCTGGCTGTAGATTCTCTTTATCGCGGTCTTAAATGGGCGGTTCTTCTCAATTCTGTTAAAGATGCAGACAATCTTAGATGCACTTTACAGCAAGTCGTCTTTGTCAATCCTAACGAGCACTCAGAAGAGCACCACATATCAGAATTTAGGACGGGCTGTGCCTGCCAGCCATGGTAGACTCACCTCCAGGAAGCCTGTCAGCTCGAGCTGGGGCGAGTGGACACCCTGTCCCCACAGTCCCACGGCCCCCTTGCATCATTGTGGCCACAGCTGTGTGGGGATGACGCATCCACCTCCCCATCTCTGAGCTCCTGGCGTCCAGGAGCCACGCCCTTGTCTCCGCACCACAACACCAGGTGTGCTGGTGGAGGAGCGGGGGTTATGTGGTCCATGCTTTGCGGACGTTTGTTGACTGGCTGCTGGCGCTGGATCATGGTTCCCGGATCAGTACAATGAGAGGATTGTCCTGGAGACTGACAGTCTCTCAGGGTCCTTGTAATTGTGACACGGTGACCCTGGCTAAGAGCCCCACTGCACAGTAAGCAAGAAGGGGACCCTACAGGGGCCAGTCCACAGACCCGCCCTTGTCCTTCTGGAACCCGCTGACGCTTACCAGTCCGAGGGCGGGATAGGTCAGAAATTCTGTTCACTCTGGGAGAGTTTCTTGAGCCGGTGAATAAATCACTATTTTAATCTCCTTAGTGTGTAATTCAATTCGCAAGCTGTTTTACCACAGTTACTTTTCTTGACAAGAAAGCTTTCCCCAGACTTAAATGTCTGAAGGAGGAGCATCAGAACTAGAAATTGAGCTCCGACTTGCCCTCCTCTTTGCAGACTTGGCTTCACGTACCTGCGGCTGAAGGACAACTACATGGAGATCTTAAATAGGGAGAACGACGTGGAAAGGTGAGCGCACTGCACGTTTATGCCAGGTGGAAAGACTCCTGCTCACCGTGGTCTTTGTGGGGAAACCCCAGGCCCCTGTCCCGCTCCCATGCCTTCCCCCCCTTCCTCTGTGACGGCCCCGGAGCGTCGCCCGCAGGCTGGGCGGTGTGGCACCCCTGGGAGCGCTCGCTCGGAGCCGTCCCAGATGAGGCTCTGGGCGTCCCTGCAGCGTCTGGGGTGTCTGCGCTGAGTGGCCCCACGACGCCACGCTCCCCAGTCTCCAGACGCCCTGCAGTCAGTCTGAGCCGCTCTGATGCTCATGGCTCCCGTCTGTCTCCAGGAACCACACGTGTTCGGTGTCGTGACTGTGTCCATCAGAGACGGCTGGTCCCAGAGACAGAGGGCATATCTTGAGTCTTGGCTCGGAGCTCCGGCTCTCCTTTCTAAATAAACTTGCGATAACGGGTACAGGCAAAGACAGGTGGCAGAGAACGTCAGGCTTGGTGGTTGTGGCCGCAAAAACCCCTGGATTTTAACGTTTCCTTAAGAAACGTGGATCCTGCGTTGGCAGGGGTGGCGAGCCCCAACTGGAACTGGCTGCCGGTCCTGGGTCGGCGCAGTGGCACTGTCCCTGGGGCGCTGGCGGCTCCGGGAGCTGCGCGACCACCTGCGGAGGGCAGAGCCCCGCCTGCTGTCGGGCTCCGGGCTCCACCCAAGGCGACAGGTGGGCTCCCGCGGAGGGGAGGACGCCCTCGGGGTGCTGCCCAGCGGGGCATGGGCCCCCCTCCAGCTTGCAAGCCGGCCGGCACCGTGAGGCTCACCGCCCCCCTGAGCCGCAGCTGGGGTCTCTGGACCCCGAGGAGTTTCCGGGGGCATCTGTCGGGGTGGCTGAACTACCGTCAGTACTTCAAATGCCAGCAGAAATCATGGTCTTTGATAATGACCGTACGAGCCACCTGCGTATCGGTTTTCTTCGCTTAAATGATTTTTATGAACTTAAGGACACTGGTGTATTGCCGGGATTGCCAGCTCTAATAGGCCTGTGAGTCCGTGTTCAGAACTCAGGGACGTGAACATGCAGATGGTGTGGTGGACAGACTCCCAGGGCACCTTGGGCCGGGGTTGAGCCCGCGGGAACTTGGCCTCAGCCTCCCCCTCCTCCCAGCTGCCAGGACCACAGTCCCTGCCCCATGCATCCCGATGGGGCGGGCATGAGGACAGGGCACAGGACACCCCAGACGCTCTGCCCCGGGAAGTGCTGTGCTTCCCCAGTTCCAGGACTTCAAGAGCCAGATAAGTAATAAAAGCAATTTTTGATCTCTTTTTCAGGTTTGAATTGCTGGAAATTTTGAGTTTTGACTCAGTAAGAAGGAGAATGAGTGTGATTGTAAAATCTGCTACAGGTAGGAATGTCTTTTTCCTTTGATTTTTTGAATTATATGTTGTGGTGGTTTTATTCTCATGCTTGCATTCTATAGGAGCTTTAGAATCTAACCATTCGTTCTCTGTAAAACAAACGAGGTGAGCCCACCACAGGTCACAGGGCTCCTCAGCATCGCACCTGGCGCAGGTGCAGCCCCTGTGGGTCCCGCTTGACTGGCAGGTCCTGCAGGGTCTCCCCTCCCTCCCTGCAGCCGCCACACACAGCAGCCTAATGTCACCCACCCGCAGCCTTCCAGTCTCCTGCCACCACGTCCATCCTAAAGACCCCACCGGTGCCCTGAGGCACCTGCTGTGTCAGGCAGACTTCTCTGGGTCTAGCACTGATGCCCTGAGCTGCCTTCCCAGCTTTCCACCCCAGGCCAACCCCAAATGTGCATGTTTCTACCTGGAGCTCTCTACTTGGTGGGATTTTTCTACCTGGAGGCCCTCTGCCTGGAGGGATGTTTCCACCCGGAGGCCCTCTACCTGGAAGGACTTTTCCACCCGGAGGTCCTCTGCTTGGTGGGACTTTCTCACCCGGAGGCCATCTACCTGGTGGGACGTTTCCACCTGGAGGCCGTCTACCTGGAAGGACTTTTCCACCCGGAGGTCCTCTGCTTGGTGGGACTTTTCCACGTGGAGGCCATCTGCCTGGTGGGATTTTTCCACTGGAGGCTCTGTACCTGGAAGGACTTTTCCACCCGGAGGTCCTCTGCTTGGTGGGACTTTCTCACCCGGAGGCCATCTACCTGGTGGGACGTTTCCACCTGGAGGCCGTCTACCTGGAAGGACTTTTCCACCCGGAGGTCCTCTGCTTGGTGGGACTTTTCCACGTGGAGGCCATCTGCCTGGTGGGATTTTTCCACTGGAGGCTCTGTACCTGGAAGGACTTTTCCACCCGGAGGTCCTCTGCTTGGTGGGACTTTCTCACCCGGAGGCCATCTACCTGGTGGGACGTTTCCACCTGGAGGCCGTCTACCTGGAAGGACTTTTCCACCCGGAGGTCCTCTGCTTGGTGGGACTTTTCCACGTGGAGGCCATCTGCCTGGTGGGATTTTTCCACTGGAGGCTCTGTACCTGGAAGGACTTTTCCACCCGGAGGTCCTCTGCTTGGTGGGACTTTACCACCCGGAGGCCATCTACCTGGTGGGACGTTTCCACCTGGAGGCCCTCTACCTGGAAGGACTTTTCCACCCGGAGGTCCTCTGCTTGGTGGGACTTTTCCACGTGGAGGCCATCTGCCTGGTGGGATTTTTCCACTGGAGGCTCTGTACCTGGAAGGACTTTTTCACCCGGAGGTCCTCTGCTTGGTGGGACTTTTCCACCCGGAGGCCATCTACCTGGTGGGACGTTTCCACCTGGAGGCCCTCTACCTGGAAGGACTTTTCCACCCGGAGGTCCTCTGCTTGGTGGGACTTTTCCACGTGGAGGCCATCTGCCTGGTGGGATTTTTCCACTGGAGGCTCTCTACCTGGAAGGACTTTTCCACCTGGAGGTCCTCTGCTTGGTGGGACTTTTCCACCTAAAGGCCCTCTACCTGGAGGGACTTTTACACCTGGAGGCCATCTACCTGGTGGGACTTTTCCACCCAGAGGCCTTCTACCTGGAGGGACTTTTCCACCCAGAGGTCCTCTGCTTGGTGGGTCTTTTCCACCCGGAGGCCCTCTACCTGGAGGGACTTTTCCACCCGGAGGCCGTCTATGTGGTGGGACTTTTCCACCTGGAGGCCCTCTACCTGGTGGGGCATTTCCACCTGGAGGGACTTTCCACCTGGATGCCCTCTGTCTGTTGGGGCATTTCCACCTGGAGGCCTCTACCTGGAAGGACTTTTCCATCTGGAGGCCTTCTGCCTGTTGGCGCGTTTCCACCTGGAGGCCTCTACCTGGAAGGACTTTTCCACCTAGAGGCCTCTACCTGTTGGGACGGTTCCACCTGGAGGCCTCTACCTGTTAGGGCGTTTCCACCTGGAGGGCCTCTTGCTGGTTTGCACTTTTCCGAGGGTAGCTCAGCAGCTACCTGGTAGGGAGCCTTCCTGGCTGCGTCATTCAGGTGAGCTGTTCATCTGTCTTCTGACCTGGCCAGACCATAAGCATCCTGGATACAGAAGCTAGACTGTTCTCAGCGTGCGGGCACTCCTGCGCTGCTCCTGAGCACCGAATCGATACCGCTCAGTTCAATTTACTTAATGCGGTCGCAATTTCAAAATGGCCTCTCAGCAAAAGATGTGGGATCTTATTTCTTTTTGTTTCTTAGGCAACACCAGGCTGTGTTTATGTCTTTGGAAGGTTGCCTGGTAAGCAACCAAATACAGCCACCATCCTGAAACCAAACAGACTGAGCCTGACATAGTGACTGAAGGCACGCTGGGGATTTTGTGTCACCAGTGTCCTTTGTTACAACAGGAGGCAAAGGCGGTCGATGTCCTTAAGCAGGAGCCTTGTGATGGGGTTCTGGGGGGGCCGGCAACGGCTTGTCTTCCTCCTCAGGCCGCAGAGGACGATGTGAGGTTGGGGGCGCATCTTGCGGCAGAACCCTGTGAGTCACTTTCCGGGGTGCTGGACGACAAGCCTGGGGAAGGCACATGGCCGCTCTGGGTGCTGTCCCTGTGTGGTCCCCTCACCCCTGAGCCCGTCGTCAGCGTGGCGGACTGGCGTGGCCCAGCCAGTGAGACCTGCACCGAGTGTCTCGGGACATAACATAGCGTAAACGCTGCCTGTAACACTGGAGATGTTCTGCCACTCGGTCAGCAGGTCGTGGGAAACAGTCACCCAGAATGTTGAAGAACACACCCAGCTGTGCTCGGGCGTGCGGGGGCGGGCGGCTCCACCGCGCGGTCCACGGGCCCTCCCCAGGGTCGAAGCCACTCAGTGCCCCGGAAGAAGGGCATCGAATTGGAACTTGACCTCACTGGCCCTTCGCCATGTGGCGTTCCCTATGGGGATGGATGCGCCGTCTTGCAGCTGGGTCACATCTGGGAGACGGTTCACGAGCCGGAGGCGTGACCGCGCCGCCGTTACTCACCAACTCCCGCCCCCTCTGTGCTTTCTGTGGGGCTGGGCGCCCGCAGGGCGGAACCCTGAAAAGCGACCGCCACCTTCCCGCAGAAGGGTTTCGCAGGGCTGCAGAAGGAGCGCGGTCACATTAGGAATTATGTCCATGGCAGTCAGGCCGATCCAGGGCCCCTTCCGTGGGGAGGCGTCTGCCCGTTCCCAGGGGTTCCCCTGCAGCGCTGCAGGTTTACCGGGACAGACCGCGTGGCATCTGAACCAACCACGGCACCAGTTAATTTCAAGAGAAGTTTGAATAATTAATTAAATAGGTTGTTCTTCAAGTGGTAATGCATCCCTGGAGATGAGGCTAATTGCTCTGGTTTTCAGCCTGGTGGGTACAGGAGACCACAAGGCCCTGTGGCCACAGCTCGCTGGGTGGCGGGTGACGCCCGTGCGGGCGTTCCTCTGCTGACTGGCCTCTTGTTTACAGAACTGGATGAGCAAGCTCCAAAGATCCACAGAGCGGCTCTTGTCTTTTGCAGAGTGAAGTTTGATTCACACTCCAGATATTTTTATGTCAGAGGCTGTCCGTAACCAAGTCCCAGGGCCGAACACGTCCCACCTGGAGCGTGTGTGAGGGAGTGACAGGTTGAGACAGTGACAAGCCGTTACTGCAAATCCTCATGATTTTTCATGAAGTCGTCTCGACTGCCCTTCTGGCTGTAAAACCACATCTGAAGAAGTGAGGTCTGGAGTCAGGAGTGGGCTCTGCCCCAGGCTGGTTGTGGGGCCAGCCCAGCCTCCAGTCTTCATGGCTCGTGACCAGAATCCAGCCACAAACCCGCATATTTGGCGGGCCTGCGGGGATCGGGCGCCCTGGCCTGCGGGGCCCTAGCCCAGCCCCATGTGCTGGCGGCCTGGACGTCACTAGACGCCATCCTTTCTGGCCGTAGGTTGACCTGAGCCTTGGTTTAGTCTCAGGACATTTGCGAGCATCAGTTGTGCTGTTTCCGATGTCGCACTGTGTGCCGCAGGAGTGAGTCCCTTCTGGGGTCAGTGGGGCTCCGGACGCCGCCGCGGAGTTCAGGCGCACTCGTCCCTTGTCCCACTCGTCCAGCAGCCGCGCACACACAAAGCCGGCCTGGTGAAGTGCCACATGACTTTCCGGGCCCGGAGATTCGTGGCTGGAAGAGGAGCCTCCAGGAGCGGGGGCCTCTTGACCAGAGCTGGTGTCTTCTGTCTTGTTCTCGCCTCTTGGTCTTGGCTGGAGTTTCCCTGCTTACCTGGAAGAGAAAATTGGTTTATCTCGGGGGGAAGCATGTGTCTGCCACACAAGCTCGTGCGAAGCCGTCAGGACGTGACTTGAGGTGTGGGGGACATCTCACAACAGGCGTCCCGTGGGTCTTGTTGGTGCGAAGGACGGACACCCAGCTGCAGCATCTCCGCGTGGGGCTGCGTGTAGGCCGGCCACGCCCCCGTGTGCTTACCGCCCCCCCGGGGGCCACCCAGCAGTGGTGACACTGGGCTTCCTCCTGGTCCTCAACTCCCCGTGAGCTTTGAGGCCACGGGAAGGACGATTTAACTTTCTCCTGACTGCACGTGGTAACAGGCCTCAGGAAATCCCTATGACGGTCTCAGCGCTGGTGTTCCTGTTTTGTTTCTTCATAAAAGCACAATGTGAAGAATAATCTAGTCTTCCCTCTAGTATGGTTAAATATCTTTGTTTCTCTGCTCACTTTATAGGAGAAATCTATCTGTTCTGCAAAGGAGCAGATTCTTCAATATTTCCCCGGGTGATAGAAGGCAAAGTCGACCAGATCCGGGCCAGAGTGGAGCGCAATGCGGTGGTGAGATGGGGCGGGGGCGGCTCGCGAGTCCCACGCCGGGAGGGCGGCCTGGCCACAGCGCCCTGTGCTGTCCCCTGAGGGACGCACTCTGAGGGCCACATGCGCCCCACGTGAAGAGGAACCCCGTGGATGCCACACGGGCGGTGCCGCTGACACGGCCCGACTCCAGACTGCTGCGAGCTTTCACTGTGGGGTGGGGGGTGCCGGTGGTTGTGGGGTCAGAATTATAGGCGCGTCTGTGGTGATTGCGTCAGGGTCCTGAGGGATTTCTGGTGATTCGCTTCTTCATCGAGAAGCCACTTTGCATGGCCACTTCCCCTGCGTGGTTCCCCCCACGTCTCGTGCTGAGGGCGTCACCCGCCTGCCCCACGCCTCCAGCAGCGCCGGGCGGCTGGTCCGCTCGCCTGGGCGCCAGCCCCCCTCAGCAGGTGCGCCGCGGGTGCAGGGGGGCGCGTGCCTGTCTGACCCCCGTCCGCCCACCCCCCGCACCAGACCCAGGCCAGGGACGGTGGCCCCTCACAGCCTCGTCCCCGCTGCTGCAAACCACAGAATTTCATGCGTAACAGCGGTTGTAAACCAAGGGGTGTCGGCCAAGGGGGTCTTGGAAGGCGGGTTGGGAATCTTCAGCCGCGCTTTCACTTACCGAATGAACGGCCTAAGTAAGCCCGCGGCGCTCACGGGAGTGTCGCTGCGAACCGCGGGCGGACTCACGGCATCAGGCGGACTGAGTGCCGCGCCCCCTGCGCAGCTACTCCGCACTCACACCTGGTGGGGTGTGCGGGGTGGGGGCGGGGTGTGCGGGGGGGGTGGGGCGGGGGGGTATGTGTGTGGAGGGTGTGTGTGCGGGGGTGGGTCAAGGTGTGTGGGGGTGGGACGGAATGTGTGGGGGGCGGGGCGGGGTGTGTGTGGGCTGGGGGTGGGGGGTGGGGCGGGCCCTGGCTTCGGGTCCATGTGCGGGTGCCTGTTGACCCCTGCTGGCCAAGGGAGGCACTGCCCTGATGCCCCGAGTCAGCAGCGACCCCGAGGGAGGCGCAGATGATTGAGCCCTGGTGTGTGGGAGGGTCGGGGTCACTCAGCCTGCTGCCCACAGAGGCGAGGGTCCCGCTGACGGAAGGGAGGGCTTCTGTGAAGCGCCCAAGGGCACACGCGCACGTGACGCCGTCTCTGGGTGCTGAGTGTTGATACTCAGTGCGCCAGGTCCTCCCCGAGGGGGCAGCCCCACCTGCGAGTCAGTCCGGCGCTGGGTCTGAAACGACGGGCGGCCTTGTTCCGCCACAGACGGATGGGACGCCGGCCGCGCTGGTCACCACACCCGTGACACAGGCCACAGGCCTGTCTGCCGTCCGCGCAGACCCTGGCCACTGCCCGGTCACCGCCCGGACCCCAGGGCCTGCGCCCAGGATGCTGAGAGGATGCTCCCCGCCGCCCTGGGGTCTCCATCGCCCCCCTTCTCTTGGGGACGGGGACCCACACCAGACGCGGTGTGTTCCCTGAGAACAGCTGCTGCGTGCGCCCCAGAGACGGCGTTTCCTCATGGGGAATGATGCTGGCACCGACCCTCACCTGCACCCTGGGGGCGCGCGGCGTGGCTTCCCAGTCCTGAGGCCCCTTAGCGGCCATAACCGGTTTTAAACTCTCTCCTCCATGCTTTCTAATAACCTTGCCTCTGGCGCTAAAGTTTGCGCCAGGTGTTTGGTCCCCGCGTGTCTTGCCCTCTTTCAGAGCAGCTCCCGGGACGGATGGCGCTCCGCGGGGGGGAAGGGGGGGAGACGGCGCTCTGCGGGGGGGAGCGGATGGCGCTCTGTGGGGGGGGGCGGATGGCGCTCCGCGGTGGGGGAGGGGAGGGGAATGGCGCTCCGCGGCGGTGCTGGCGATCGTGCCAGGGCACGGCAGAGCGTCGGCACGCGTGTTCTGCGCGCCACCACCATGCGTGGCTGCTCGGCGGCCGGTGCAGGACCGCCCTCTTGACGCACCTGGGGCTTGTCTCCGAGTGCGGCCATTGCAGAAACAGCCGGGAGGGACTCGTGTTTCCTTTTGCTTGAGGGGCCGGCTGTCTTTGTTCTGTCTGCATCGCATGGCCATCTTCGGGGGCAGCGTTCGGGCTGTCAGTCGGGGTGGGCTCTGGCGCGGCCCCTTCACGCCTGCTCAGGCTGCTTGGGCCTCTTGGGTTTGGGGGTTTATGGTTTTTTTAATCAAGCCGGGGAGTTTTCAGCCAGGATGTCTTCCGGTATTTTTTCTGCCTCCACCTTTCCAGGAACCTCAGTGCCCCTTGGGATACGGTGCTTGGTCGTAGCGTTTTCAGTTTCATTTTGGGGACTTTCTGTCGCCCTGTCTTCACACCCCCTCCTCTCGCGAGCCATGTCTTCTGGGCTACAAGTCGTTGCCGAGCCCATCCCATCTCAGACAACGGGGGATTTCTCTCAGCTGCGTGTGTGTATTTAACTTTCGGTCGCGCATAACAAGGTGGCCGCTTGACATGTTTCTCCACCAGTTCTGCCCTTGTGCCGGGTCTGCGTCCACCTCAGCTGGGGTTGTGTCCTCGCTGTCGGTAACGCTCTGTGCCCACGTGCGTGCTGCTGGCCTTTCACGGGGCGGCCTGAGGACACCGCCCTGTTGGCCGCAGGGGAGCCCTGTGTTTCCATCAGGCATGGCTTGGTTCCCGGAGCCATTGTTCTGTTCAGACGGCGGCTTTATGGCATGTGAGGTGGGTCCAGGACGTCGCTCGAGTGGAGCGAGTTCTTCCCCCGTGCAGAGGGGAAGCCCCTGTGAACTGCAGGGTCTCCAGCCCGGCTCTTGGGATGGCACCATCCCCTCTCCCTCCTGAAGGTCTGTCTCCGGCCTGGGGAGCCCCTCACGCGCCCACCGGTGCTCTGCAGATGCTCGAGGGGCTGCTACAGTCCCCGTGCCAGGAACCCCCTAACTCTGCAGGCCTGAGCAGGGACACCTGTATGTGGAGACAGTTGTGGAGTCTCAGGAAGCTGTAAGGATCATGCAGAGGGGTGACCGCATCTCCTCGCATCTTCCCCACGTGGAGTGCACATCGAAGCCTGGGAGCAGGTGTTGGTCCACATTGCAGTCTGTCACCGTGTCACTTGTGTGGCGTCCTGGCCCCCCTGCATGGAGGTGCAGAGCCAAGCTGCCCGCTCCCGTCCCTGCTCCCGGCCCTGCTCCCAACCCTGCTCCCGGCCCACCCGGCCCTGCCCACCGTGCCCGTCTGCCTTCTGCAGGCGCTTGTCATTTCAAGAGTGCGATGGAAATGTGACAGTATGGAGGGGCCGACATTGGTTCCTCTTCAAGCCGAGCAGCGTGCACGGTGTGGACATACCACCTTCTCGTCCTTCTGTGGGAAGACATTGGGGTTGTTTCCAGTGTGAAGCCGCCAGAAATAAACCTGCATGTAATTTGTGTCCAGGTGGTGTGGACATAAATTTTCGTTTCTCTGGGGTGAACGCCCAGGAACATGATGTAAGAGAGCATTTAGTCTTTCAAGAAACTCCCACCCGTTTTCTGGTGTCTGCACGGTTCAGGGGCTGTGTCTCCCGTCTTCAGCAAGTGCCCCACATAGGCCGGTGGCCGCCACCTCCAGTGAGCTCCCATGCGGGTCGTCTGCAGCAAAACGTCCTTGCTTGTGTTTTGCCCACTTTCTAAGAGGATCATTTGGTGGGATTTTTTTGTTTTATTTTTAGGTTGAATTTTATAGTTCTTTAAAAGTTTAAGATGTTAATTCTTCATCATATTTGTGATTCACAAATAGTTCCTTCCATTTCCAGCTTCTTTCGTTCTCTCAACAGGGTATTTTGCAGAGCAAACGTTTTTAATTCGGAGGACGTCTGTCCTGTCCATTTTCCTTTGCGTGTCCCACTTTGGTGTCATGCCTAAGTTCTTTATCACTTTAGGTACCGAGTGCTCTCTTCTGTGTTTTCCTCTATGTTTTATACTTGTATGTTTTATGTTTAAATCTGTGATCCATTTCTTGTTGTGGTTAATACACAGAACATAAAATCTGCAGGCAGCTGTCGTCAGCTTGTGATTCATTGACATCAAGTAACAGCCATCACCCCAAATAGAAACCGTACCCACAAAGCAAAATCTGCCCCTTCCATGCTCCCCCAGCCCCTGCTAACCTCTATTCTGCCTTCCGTCCCCCCATACTTAACCTCTCCTGGGTATTTCGTGTATTTACTGTCACATTCCTAACCCAAGGTCATGAAGATTTTCCTGTGTTTTTTTCCCAAGAGTTTCCTGGTGTTAGCTCTTACATGGAGGCTGTGATCGATTCTGAGTTAATCTTGTAAGTGGCTTGAGGAAGGGTCCAACCTCATTCTTTCCAAGGTGGCTGTGTAGTCTTCCCAGCACCGTTTGTGGGTTAGACGCCCTTCCCTGTTGAATGGTCCTGGCGCCCGTGTCGAAAATCCCCCACATGCACGGGAGGCTCCATACTTCTCCATTGTTCTCTTATTGCCAGCAGCAGTTTTGATGACTGTCCCTTTCCAGTAAGTTTTGAAATCAGGAAGTGTGGGTCCTTCAACTTTGTTGTTCTTTTACAAAACTGTTGGCTGATCTCAGAACTTTGAGATGCCGCACAAGTGTTGGGCTGTGTTTAGCCATCAGGCTATTGCTAGGGGTTTGCACCCACTCCGTGGATGGCTTTGGGTAGAGTCGTTAGGACTGTTGGGGCTTTGTTCCCTTCGGTCTTCTGTAACTTCTCCTGGCAACATACTGTAGTTTCCAGTCTGCAAATCTTTCACCTTCTTAACACAACTGATTTTTATATGTTGACTTTGTATTTTGACCATTTCCTGAATTTGTCAGTTCCAGTGTTTTTCTGTGGAATCTTCAGGGCTTTCATCGTATCTGTGAACAGAGGTGACATTAGCTCTTCCTTTACAATTTGGATGCCTTTTCTTTTCTTGCTTAGTTGCTCTGGTTAGGAATTCCAAGGCTGTGCTGGATACAAGTGGCCAAAGTGGGCATCCTGGTCTTGTTCCTGATTTAGGGGCAAAGCTTTCTGTCTTCCAGCATTTCACAGTATGTGGGGTTTTCATTAATGTCTTTGCAGTATTGGAGAAATTCCCTTCTACTCCTAGTTTATGGAGTGGTTTTTATTATGAAAAGATGTTGGATTTTGTGAGATGCTTTTTCTGCATCAACTGAGATGATTATGGGGGCCTTTCCCTTCATTCTGCTGCTCTCATGAATTACCTGGACTGATCTTCCCTTACTGAATCATCCTTGCCTCCCTGGGAGAAGTCCACTCGGTCCTAGTGCATAATCCTTCAGATATGTTCTTAGATTCAATTTGCTGGTACTTTGCTGAGGATTTTTGCATCTGTATTTGGAAGGGATATTGTTCTTTAGCTTTCTTTTCTTGTGGTGTATCTGTCCGGCTTTGTTTGTACATCGGTGTTGTTTTATATACAGCGTTTGGGGTCTGGGTAGTACTTCGGAGGAATCAGGAATAAGTGTCTACTCCCCGGCTCCACAAGCAGAAATCCCATATCCACTTTTAAAAACAAACTTTTTTTTAATTTCTGAAAGCTCTGCTTACCATTCGTGCCAACTCTTTGAAGAACTGGGACAATAGGAGAGATTAGCCGTACTGTGATTGTGTCCTTCAGCCGCATTTGGAGGTCTGAGGAATCGTGAGAAATGCGAAGGGTTTTCTGGCACTTGTGGGAAATTTAAACTCCTATACTGGAAAATCTTTTTAAAATCTTACAAACCAGGATTCTCCCAGAATTTGGACTGACTACATAGGAGGATTCTGGCTCTTTTCCTAGGATTCATGGAGTCAGGGAAGACAGAAGGGAAGTCGTCCTTAGAGCATCAGTCAGACCATTGTGATGGTTTGCTTCGTCTTGATGGGAAGGAAACTTCTATTGATGGGATCGAAGCGCTCCGTGTGTGGCCCGCGGGCACCCGACGGTGTCTCGCTCGCTGGTGGCACGTGTTCTCTGTGTCACCGGAGTTATGATCACAGTAAATCCACTGTTCTTGGATTCTTATTTCTCTGTCCTGTGGACCCAGTAGGTTTGATAAACAACTGAGTAATTTCCTTCAGTGGTTGCTAAGGAAGACCAAACCGTATTACCAACTCTCCATGTAAAAAGTGTTAACTTTAGAAATATCACTTGATATTTACAATAAAATCTTAAATTACTACTCAAAAAAAAGCTTAACTCTTTATTCGTCAGCCTAAAAGAACAAAGTCTTACGTTTTCACGGCTCCGATTTGTATTCCCATGCTTACCTGTGTGAAATTTTGTAATCTATAAGGATTGTCTATATTGAACGTGGATATAAATAATTCAGATGTAATGGCTCATCACCTTGAGGGCTCATTGACTTACAATTCTGTAGTTAGTCCTTCTGATTAGCGAGAGGGGATATTGGGAAAGCTCTTGAAAGATCAAATTCCAGCAGAGTGACACTTGAATTCACATTAAGCGCTGTGCTGTTTCCTGCAGGAGGGACTTCGAACCTTGTGCGTTGCCTACAAAAGGCTTGTTCCGGAAGAATACGAAGGTGTTTGTGCACTGCTGCAGGCCGCCAAAGTGGCTCTTCAGGACCGAGAGAGGAAGCTAGCGGAGGCCTACGAGCAAGTAGAGAAGGACCTCATCCTGCTCGGCGCCACGGCTGTGGAGGACAGGTGACGTACGCCCCACGCCCAGCTTCAGAAGTAGGAGGTGGCGCTCTGAGGCCGCAGAGCCTGTGGGGTGCCCGGGGGACTGGCCGTGGCACCTCATGTCCTCACGTGGATGTGCGTCCGCAGCAGGACGAGACTGGCCTCGGGGTGGCATCACCAGGAGGTCGTGCCTGGACGGTGTTTGACTTTCCGTGGATAAAGACCTGACATTCACGCTTTGCCAGACAGACCAGAACGGTTGGCACGTTCACACCGTGTCATCAGTAGTCAAGAGAGACGGTCATTTTTAAATCATTCTGTAGAGTTCAGTCATAATTAATTCTGTTCCTAAATTTGTCACTAGCCCTTTCCAAGTCCAAGCGTAACGTTTCAGATGTGAATGTACTCAGGTGTATTTCTCATTTCTCCTTGAAGAAATGTAAAACTGTGAAGTAGAATGTTGCAAAAACCATGACTAACCACTGGTAAGACTACCAAGCCAGCGTCTTCCCATGCTCCGAGGACGGAGCTGCCCATCTACCGCCATTCTGCGATGAGGCTGGACGTGAGTTCAGGCCTAGCACACTAAGACGCGGGCGTGTCACTGTTGCGACTCGAGACCGTGGACGGAAAGGAAAAGAAAAAATGCCCCAATTTAACAGAATGAAGTAGAAACGTGAGGGCATTTACTGAAAGTTTATTTCCCGTAAAGGTTCAAAGTCTTTAAGGTGTAAGTGGGCCCAATGTTTAAGTCCTTACTGGAATCCTAGTTTTCCGGTGTCTTTAACAAGCATTCCACAGCTTCCTAATTTCAGTAAGGTGTCGGGTGACGTGTTTGACTTCAGTTTGGTGACTTAAGCCCCTCCCATCACTCAGGCGGGGGTCCAGGCACCAACACGGGGTGGGGGTAGCTTGTGCTCAGGACAGGCTTTAGAACATGACACCACCGAGGGTCTGCAGTGCTAGGAGGGAGGGGGACGTGCGTTGGGGTGCATTTGCCTGGGGAAGAGTGGGACGGTCCTCGAAGGAGGTTAGGGAGAGGAGAGTCTGGATGGGGGAACCGAGTCTGCACACCCTCATGAGGGCCGAGGGAGCAGATCAACTCGGTGGGAAGTTGGGACCTCGAAAACAGAGTAGGTGCCCAGGGACAGTTGGGGGCCAGCAGCTTTGAAGTGATGATATTCAGTCACAAATCATTTCCCTAAAATCCCTGACCAACGTCTCCGCAGGATGACCTTTCAGGTCCTCAGTTTCCGTTTTCAAAAAAACTGATGAAATTAGAGATGTTTTCCATGTCCCTGGAATGCCGAGGTCACGTGAGCACAAGGCTTTGCCAAGGAAGCTTGCCGAGTCTCATTGGGTCACCCCAGTTAGGATCCCATCCCGTCAGTGCTGGGCAGGGACACGGCACATTACTTCACACAGCTGTTGAAAGCCCAGACGCTAAAATCTAGAAAGAATGGCAGGTCCCAAATGAGGCAGATGTCCACGCACAGCGCGGCGGCCTGACCAGTGTGTGAGCCGCCCATCCTTGCATGAATCTGTCCGGCCCACGAGCCCTGGGTTTTCCGCACCTAGCACAGGGTTGCTAACGGAGGCTCGCCCTATGAGCTCTGGTGGAGGGGATTCATCACAGGCAGAATGCTTCCCGTGGCATCTGACACGTGCCCAGCTCATGGTGCACGCTAGCCAGACGTGGAACCTGCTGGCTTTCTCGGGATTTTACCATATTCAGAGGCTCCAGTGTGGTAAGTGGCAGAATTACAACAGTTTATGCCAAAGAAAAGGCAGTGAATACTACTGACTACCTCTTTTCCTGGTTCCATTTTCCCCTGGTTAAGACTTTTTTGGCGGTTATGGTCCTTCTTGTCATTGCCTAAAATCCTCTGCAAGTGGGGGAGCCCCAGCTAGACAGAGCACCGCGTGCTCACCGAATTATGCAAGATCAATGCTTCACTGCTTAACATCATGGGTGTTTCTGTGCTTGGAATTAGGAAGTGCTTTCCTGTAAAAAGTTAATACATAAGTATAAAAGCAGCTTCGGGTACCTCATGATAATATCACGAGCTAGAGGTGTGGTTTTTTTTTTAGCTTGGGGGAATGGAAATAGTTTCCTAGGTTACAAATTTTGAGAATTCTTGTCTTCTCCCATGCCACACTCAGGCCTGTGTTCTCGTTTCTGCTTTGCTCAGGCTCCAGGAGAAAGCTGCCGACACCATAGAAGCCCTGCAGAAGGCCGGGATCAAAGTCTGGGTTCTCACCGGGGACAAGATGGAGACGGCAGCCGCCACCTGCTACGCCTGCAAGCTGTTCAGGAGGAACACGCAGTTGCTCGAGCTCACCACCAAGAAGATTGAGGAGCAGAGTCTACACGACGTCCTGTTTGAGCTGAGCAAGACCGTCCTACGCCACAGCGGGAGCCTAACCAGGGACAACTTCTCAGGGTAGGCAGTGCCCCTCTCCCGCCACGGGAGGGCCACGCAGCCTCGGCACCCCTGTGGATGGTGCAGGTCCATCCCTGGGGGTCCTAGCAGCTCCAGCGGGACGCGCCAGGGCTATTTCTTTGTAGCAACTGTGGTGTGTTTTTTTGCAGAAGAGGTGTGTGTGTGTGTATTCACTTTTAAATGCTGCTTAAGGATGCAGATTGATTTATAAAATATTGGGAATGAGATCATTCTCATCTGCTTATAAGGCACTCGGGCTGTATCGTGGATTCCTCAGGGTATCTGTCAGAGTGGAGAGAGAAATATTAATAATTCATGCTTATTTGTCAGGATATGCCCAAGAGTTGTTTTTTCCAAGAACATTCAGCAGTATATTCACATTTTATCAATGCTGTCCTTGCTGGTATCAGATCCGTGATTGAAGGTTAAGATTTCATGGGAATCGTTTTAGATTTTCATTAATGTCATAATGCAAAAGCAGCTCTCTCATCATATGCAAACGTTGAATTATTCATAAGTAGCGCAAGGATGTTTCCCTTCACCTGATCTGCAGGACTCCTCTGGGGGATCAGGGATGTTCTTGTAACTTTGAAACCCAGCAGAAAGACGTACTCTGACCGTGTTCTTTCCAACTCACGTCCTCCAGGCAGGATGCCCAGGAGGGGTTCGCGGCAGGGCTGCAGTCTGAGGCTGGCCACCGTGGCCGGGGCTCGGGAATAAAGACTGACCTCTGCAGGCCGCAGGATACATGCTCTCGGTCGGCTTTGCCAAAGTAGCGGAGTGTGCACACAAAACCGCAGCTAGAGCTCGGTGTTTGCTTTGCCTCGGTGGCAGGAGAACGTTAATTAAACCTCCGTTTTAACATGTGGTCGAGGGCGTTCTGTCCCGTGCTCTAAAGACTGTGTTGATAAAACGAGGAATACCAGTTTCTTAATCCCTTGATAATCAGTTTATAACATCTGCAGATATCCGAAAAACAATGATAGTCTTCTAAAGTCCGTGCACTTCGCTCCTGAGTCACGTCTCTGATTTGTGTAATTGAACAGACTCTCAGCCGACATGCAGGACTACGGTTTGATCATTGACGGAGCGGCGCTGTCCCTGATCATGAAGCCCCGTGAGGACGGGAGCTGCGGCAACTACCGGGAGCTCTTCCTGGAGATCTGTCGTAACTGCAGCGCTGTGCTGTGCTGTCGCATGGCGCCCCTGCAGAAGGCTCAGGTCGGCCCCCATCTCAGCTGGCCCCGGGGGGGCGGTGGGGGAGGCAGACATCCAGAGCCTCCGGCTGGTTCTTACAGCCTCTCATGGTTTTCTTTTTCCAAACCCAGCAAGGCACCACCTTTTTTAAATAGAAGCACAAATGGTAGCAATTTCCAACCTGGATCTTACTTTGCTTGTCGTGATTAGGTGAGAGTTGGCCGGATCAGGTGGATACGTCTCCCACTGGAGGCTGGGAAGCCTGGCCCTGCACGACCTCTCGTGCAGAGGGGACCTCATTCTAAGACTCTGTAGGAAGGACGGGAGGGCGCGAGTGCATTATGACGCACCTGCTGTTGGTGTCCCCTGACGGATGCAGCTCTGAACCCCTACAGAATGATAGCGTGTGAGGGGCGTTATGCTGATCGCACAGAGGAGTACTGAGACACAGAAAACTGGGATAACTTGTCTACAAGGATATATTTGGAAACTGGCAGTCCACATATGGCTTCTAGCCTGTTGGACTCCAGACTCCTGTCCTACCCAGCCCACGTGGTCTGTTGGAGACCCACACGTGACGTGTTTCTTTTCAGTGTTTTGTAAGGCATCGTAGAAGACGTGTGTGAGCATGGGTGTCTTTCTGGCATCAGTAAACCTATAGCACATCTCACTTTGTCGAGCCACTTTAGAGATGCACGAGACCAGTCTGTCTTCAACTGTTCATGAAGGAAATGCAGCACTTCTCAGACTGACGCAGGGGTTAGGGTAAAACACTGAAAACCACGTGTGAAGCGCCATTTCTCACATTTCTAGCATCCCTCTAGCCTCTAGAGGCACACCAGGACCCCCTCCCCACGGGCGCCCGCGAGCACCAGCTGAGACCCAGGAGCATGGCTGCCGTCCTGCCCTGCCTCGTCTTCTGTGTCAGGCTCCACGTAAACCCCTGTCATCCTGTCCAGACGGGCAAACTGAGGACTCTGTGTTTGATTTTCATGTGTTACATGGTCCCTTTTTTTCAGTTTTTAACTGATTTTCAAAAAGGTTTACACACGTTAGTGTTTCAGACTCGCATCTTGAAATGGCAGGCAGTCCACACGTGGCTCCTCATCTTCTTGGTCTTCTACCATGAACCGTAGCACTTAGACACATAGACGGAGAGGAAGTTGCCGAGAAATGGACAACACGCTGGAAATTATTAATTGTATTGAGTTTCCAGATTGGATTTGCACACGTGACAACTTTGAGGATTAAAATAGCGTGAGAAGCTGCTTATTTATAAGAAATAAATGCTTGATAGCAAATAGCTTGGCATGGACGTGTCTTCTAGCGGAACGTGCTGTTCAGGTGTCCCCAGAGGTCTGCCTGGACCCCGTCTGCGGAATCTGTGCGTGTAGCAGGAGCGGATAGCAGTTGCCCACCAGCCTTTTCCGGTTTATTCCCTCGTAGTCACACGTTAGCTGCCTTTTCTTTACTGTGTCGGGGTTCCAGTGTGAGGATTCGTCCTGCACGCAGAGAGCAGACTGAACGTAGCAGGTTCATACCAAGCCGATCATTGTTCTGTCTTCCTTGGCTGACTTGACATCCATGTTCTTTCTGCCTAGTTAGCGATCTGTGCAAACAAAACAGAGAAGATAAATGCTGATCTGTTTATTTTCCAGATTGTTAAATTAATCAAACTTTCAAAGGAGCACCCTATTACTTTAGCCATCGGCGATGGCGCCAACGACGTCAGCATGATCCTGGAGGCGCACGTGGGCATCGGTAAGCTGCCCACATCCGGTGCCCGTGAGGCGGGGAGGGGAGACCAGTGGCAGGACCGAGGGGCGCAGGTGCAGGGCGTGTGTGGGTCCGAATGTTCTCGTCGCCAGTGTTTGGTGGCTCCTCATTTCGCTTCTTGCTGCTTCCCCTCACACGGTGCTGAGAGTGGGTCTCCTCCTGCAGGCGTCATTGGGAAGGAAGGTCGTCAGGCCGCAAGGAACAGCGACTATGCAGTCCCGAAATTTAAGCACCTGAAGAAGATGCTGCTCGTTCACGGGCATTTCTATTACATCAGGATATCTGAGCTTGTGCAGTACTTCTTCTATAAGGTAGGAGGGCATCCATGCTGCGGCCGAACGTGGTGCGCTGAGCATCTCTCTGGTGCTTTGAGGGGCGGCTCAGGGAGAGACAGAAGGGCCAGCAGGGAGGGGGTCCTCGCATTGTCCCTGAGAGAGGAGGTGCAGCACGCCCCTGTGCACACAGATTCGGCGCGGAACCAGCAGGAACCTTGCGTGGTCACGTGACTGAGGGAAGGCCATTGTTCCGTGCGTCCTGGCGATGGCTCCTTATTCGTCCGCTCTCAGACTCTCTCCTGGCCATGCTCAGGCCCCGCTGCATCCTCATTCCTCCATAGGTGGCATCCCTGGACGCTGTCTGCTCACGGAGCAACCGGAACGCGTGCCTCCTAGTGCCATTAAAATAAGAGCAGACTTTACGGCCCATCACCCACCCTTCTGAGAACACAGCACACTGTGGGGTCACTTCCTGCAGATGCGACCTGTGACCGGGACAGCTGAGGAGGGTAGATGTGTCTCACGGCGTGCTGTTGAACTAACTAGCGTGTGGCTTGCCTTTCAGAATGTCTGCTTCATTTTCCCTCAGTTTTTATACCAGTTCTTCTGTGGATTTTCGCAACAGGTGAGTCCTACTGTCCGAGTCAGAAGCTGCCCTGGGCCTTACCTCCCTGCCCTTGTGGCGGTGAAGGAGAGAGCAGGCTGCAGGGGCGAGGAGGCTGTAAGGGGGAGCAGGCTGCAGGGGCAAGTAAGCTGTAAGTGGGAGTAGGCTGCAGGGGCAAGTAAGCTGTAAGCGGGAGCAGGCTGCAGGGGCAAGTAAGCTGTAAGCGGGAGCAGGCTGCAGGGGCAAGTAAGCTGTAAGGGGGCGCAGGCTGCAGGGGCGAGGAGGCTGCAGCAGTGAGTAGGCTGTAAGGGGGAGCAGGCTGCAGGGGCGAGGAGACTGTAAGGGGGAGCAGGCTGCAGGGGCAAGGAGGCTGTAAGGGGGCGCAGGCTGCAGGGGCGAGGAGGCTGCAGCGGTGAGTAGGCTGTAAGGGGGAGCAGGCTGCAGGGGCGAGGAGGCTGTAAGGGGGAGCAGGCTGCAGGGGCAAGGAGGCTGTAAGGGGGCGCAGGCTGCAGGGGCGAGGAGGCTGCAGCGGTGAGTAGGCTGTAAGGGGGAGCAGGCTGCAGGGGCGAGGAGGCTGTAAGGGGGAGCAGGCTGCAGGGGCAAGGAGGCTGTAAGGGGGCGCAGGCTGCAGGGGCAAGGAGGCTGCAGCGGTGAGTAGGCTGTAAGGGGGCGCAGGCTGCAGGGGCGAGGAGGCTGCAGCAGTGAGTAGGCTGTAAGGGGGAGCAGGCTGCAGGGGCGAGGAGGCTGTAAGGGGGAGCAGGCTGCAGGGGCAAGGAGGCTGTAAGGGGGCGCAGGCTGCAGGGGCGAGGAGGCTGCAGCGGTGAGTAGGCTGTAAGGGGGAGCAGGCTGCAGGGGCGAGGAGGCTGCAGCAGTGAGTAGGCTGTAAGGGGGAGCAGGCTGCAGGGGCGAGGAGGCTGTAAGGGGGAGCAGGCTGCAGGGGCAAGGAGGCTGTAAGGGGGCGCAGGCTGCAGGGGCAAGGAGGCTGCAGCGGTGAGTAGGCTGTAAGGGGGCGCAGGCTGCAGGGGCGAGGAGGCTGTAAGGGGGAGCAGGCTGCAGGGGCGAGGAGGCTGTAAGGGGGCGCAGGCTGCAGGGGCGAGGAGGCTGTAAGGGGGTGCAGGCTGCAGGGGGCAGCAGGTCAGGGGTGCAGTGCCCTCCACCTCGCACCCCTGTGCAGCCCGGTCCACAGGCAGGTTCAGGAGCAGACGTGGAGTGGCCACTGTGGCCGATGCCCAGTGGCTACCGTGGGCTTGCTCACGTGGCCCACCAGCGAGGTGCCCAGCTCACCTGCCCCCAAAGGCTGTGGCGGCTTTCTGCCCCTAATGGAGAGGACTGAGTGGGCATCTGAGGCCCTCGCTGGGTGCCTGATCGTCAGCATCTGGCACACTTGGGTGCCGAGCTGCCCAGGAGAACAGCGGCCCCTCGGGGCATCCCCTTCCCGTCACGTCCCTGCTTCTGCCCGAGGGGCCGGGACTGGAGAATATTGAAGCTTGAAGGTGGCCATCAAGATTGCAGACTTCTCCGCAACTGTTTCTGTTGCAAGTCTGCAGCGGCCAAATGGGGTGGGTCCCGGTGGCATCTGTGTTGGCCGCAGCTTTCACCTGACTGTTGACGCCAGGAAGGGCTGAGAAGTGTCCCGCTGTCTGTAGCTGCAGAGAGTGGACTCTGCCGTTAAAATGCTCGTGGGTCTGGGTCTTTGCAAATTAAGAAATACGTGTACATTTCAAGAAAGCATCAGAGCGGTTTGTGGAGATCCACGGAGGAGTGCAGTTTTCAGGTTGATTTTGTGCTCCCCACAGACTTTGTACGACACTGCCTACCTGACTCTGTACAACATCAGCTTCACCTCCCTCCCGATCCTCTTGTACAGCCTGATGGAACAGCACGTCAGCATCGACACGCTGCGGAGAGACCCCTCCCTCTACAGGTATCTACAGGCGCCGCCCGCGACGGGAGCCCAGGTGCACTAGGTGCCCCCACCCTGCAGCCCGCTCCCTGGCGGAAAAGCCCGAAGCGCTCAGGCTGGTGCACTTGCTTCCCCCAGAGAGGCTTTCACGGGGAGACCACGTAACTGAAGCGAACATACTTCAGACTGAGGGAGAGGATTGGTGCTGCATCTGAGCGTGCCTGTTAAGTAGTTATGAGAGGACCCGGGATACGCGGTTCTGCCCCCTGGTGACCCCAGTGGATCTAGAGCCTAAATTATCCTTTAAAAACCAAGTACGTCCCATTCAGTGAGATGAAGAGAAAAGTTAGCAGATCTGACCTCAGAGTGCCTTTTTTTGCTAAAAAGTACTTTTTAATCATCAGGAAAAGGCGTTTTCTGCCAATTTGGAATCGTACTCCAAGATGGCTGGCAGATTCAGTGTGTTACTTTTTTGTGGTTTTTCTTAAATTTAACTTCTTAGGTCAAGTAATTTTAGATTCATGAATAGTTTTAAGGGTACGCGGGTTCTGAGCGTTTCTCCTGACCCTGGTGGTTACTGCCGAACAGAACGTCGCACGGGGGTTGACGGCATCCCTCCGGGCGCCCAGGTTTACTGGTGTCCGTCTGTGTGTGTGGGCGTCCCGTGGCCACACGGTACAGAGCACCTGCCAGCGTCACGGCCCCATCAGAGTGTCTGCCGTGATGTGGGATCTGAAGCCCCCGAGCCCCAGGGATCCCTGTGGGCGACAAGCAGGCAAGCGTGGAGCTCGCTGTCTGTGCCTTCAGTGGGGGGGAACGCGTCTGAGGAGACGGGAGACGCCGAGGTAGGCCTGCGTCTGGAGGGACCCCTGCAGCCGGCCTCCCGTGGACTGACAGGAGATGCGCCACGAGCCTGAGGCCCACAGCCCATGTCACGCGGGACGGGTGTGGGCCTCATGTCCTGGGTCCGTTCACAAGCAGAGATGTGAGCCTGCCCTCAGACACATCAGTGTCCACCTGGAAGGAGAGAACCAAATGTCGTTTGCATTTGATCCCACAGGGACGTTGTCCAGGGGTCCCATGCCCCCGCGCATGTGCTCGGTTCACTGTGCTCTTGATTCTGCTTCTGGTACAGCAGTCTGGTGCTCTGGCTGCCCCAAGGGCTTTGTGGAGCCAGGCATGGTGCTGGGTGAGGGGCAGGGGTATTGGCAGGCGGCCAGGGGGCAGGCGGAGTATGGCGCGGGGACACGGTCGGTGCTAGAAGCTATCAGGAGGAGCCCACCAGGATCCACCCGGAAGGCTCTGTGAGATCAGAGCATGTGTCCAGCCCCAGGGCAGGTGTGGAGGGGTTCAGGCAGGCACGGGAGTAGACCTGCCGGGCAGGACGACCCTGTGTACTGGGCCTGTTTCTCCATGACCCACTTCCATCGCGTGGTGGAGCCAGCTGGCTCTGCAGCCTGGGACGGTGCCGTGACTGAGGGGGCCTTCCTGGCCAGATGGTCACAACAGAGCGTGGGGGTGGCCCGGCCACTGTGAGAGTCTGGTGTCCCTGATGTGTGATCTCACCTGTCCCCTTCCACAGAGATATCGCCAAGAACGCTCTGCTCCGTTGGCGCGTGTTCATCTATTGGACATTCTTAGGAGTATTTGATGCTCTGGTATTTTTCTTTGGTGCTTACTTCATGTTTGAAAACACAACAGTGACCAGCAATGGACAGGTTAGTATGGAACCACATCGTGTGGGCTGGGCCGCTTGGGAGTGCCATGCAGGCGCGGGCCGGGGTAGCCTGTGGGGCCTGGTACTGGGGCATCTGTCCACCAAAGCGCCTCGAGGCCGCGGTGCCCCTGCTCCTGCCGGACACACCCTTCCCGGGAGTCCCAGGCTCATGGCACTGTGTCACCGCGAGCCACTTTGTTCGTTCCCTCGCTCAGGCCTAGTTTAGTTCCTTTGGGAGTTAATTTCGTATTTAACACACTGTAGCTTTTTTCCACCCGTATTTACCTTAAGTATCTGCTACCTTTGCAAAGAGTAGATTGAGAGTTTGCTAGTAACCAGGCAGCTCCCTGCTTGTTTGCATAACCTCTGGGGTTGTTTTACTCGTATCTCGCTTTTGTCTTTTTGCCTCGGGCTTCCCTCCCCACTCTCAGATAATGACCACCAACACACACATGGTAAGAAAATTGTGGGTTTGTCCTTTATGTTTTGGAGTGCCTTAAAAATAAAATATTTCTCGAAATATTTTCACCTGTGACTTCTTCTGTGTGCTTTGTCAGTAGAAAGCTGCCACCAGCCCCCACGCGGGGCCAGCTGCCTTAGGCGAGTGTGTGTGCATTTGGTCCTGCGTGCTTGCTGTTTCTTCTCTGGAGTTCTGTGTCGGGCTCGCCAGCCGAGGCGGTGCTGGGTGTAATTGATATGTTTGCACTTCGTGCACGGTGCCGTCCCACGCACGGGAGGCCCGGTGGGGACGCGCTTTGTGTGGCAGACCTGGGCCTTGGGGACACGCGGGGGACGCACGGGCGCACTTGAGGGCCGTGCCCTCCGGAGGGCTGCCCGGGCTTGGCGGCTGCACCGACGTGACCCCCTGCCCGCCGGGCAGCCCGCTGTTCGCTGGTACGGGGCGAACTTTTTTTTCTCCTCGTTACTAAGGTGCTGCTCTCTTTCATTGTAGCTTAAATCAACTTTTACTGAATTGATCTTGAAAATGTTTTAAATATCTCATTTTGCTTTTTGAAAGCTTGACGTTTCTCTAGAATGTACTCCTTTGTCTTCATTTGCTTGGATAATTCCCGGGTGCCAGCCGGCCCCAGGCCCGTCCTCCTGCGGGGTCCCCACAGGACTTCCTGCGGCGAGGCCCTGAGGGAGGGTCTTGCATGTGTCTTAGGAAGTTAAGACTAAGATTTCGAGTCCCCGGAGCTGGGACGTCAGGACCGAGTTAGCCTGTTGCCACCGCGAGAAGCCTCCTCACACGGTGCTGCTCACTCTTGGCATTAACGTCAAAGCACCGGGTTCAGACGGATGAAGTAGCATACACACATGGGCGCTCAAACTGGGGCTTTCGTGCAATGCCGATGGTGTCCTTTATGCTGCTCCTTCGTTGCCCCGGTCTCGAGAGTCCCTAGTGAGAGGACCGGTCCTGCCCAGTTTCAGCGGGGAACGGACGCGCACGACGACGTGGGTGGCCCGTGCACCCTGGACGTGGTCGTGCCGGCTGGCAGGTGTGGTGCGGTCCCTCGTGAGGCCCAGGCAGTGTCTCCAGCTTGTGCTCAAATCCCCGGAGCCCTGATGTGCCTCGAGCCGCTCCTCAGGGTGCCGTGGTGCTCTGGACGCCTCCAGCGGATGCAGGAACTTCTGCCAGGTCCCTGCTGCTCTCTCCGACTGGCCTGTTTCCTTGGGGTGCCTTGAGCTTCCACGGGGCCTGAGTCCTGACTTCTAGGCCGGGACTTTTCCGCAACACTGATAACCCCACGTACACACGCACGCCTTTGAGGGGCTGTTAGCGTGCGGGGCTGTTGTTAGAATTTGAAGCAAGGACAGAGAGAGAGACCAGGACGGAGAAAGCAGAGTCGGCCCGCACCGCTGCATCGAAGATCAGCCCGGCAGGTGCCCTGTTGCCCACTGGCTGAGAGCTTCCCGGGCCCGCCCTCGGCCCTACTTGCTGGCCTGTCCACACAGGAAGCTGCTCAGAAGCCTGGTGATACTGTGAACCAGGCACGGGGCACGTGGTGCCAAGCAGGGTCTGTGAGGTGAGGTGTGTGTCCACAGTGACGCTCTGAGAGGTGAAGTCTCCTGCAAGTCAGTGCTCCGTAGATGGTGGGGAGCCCCAAGACCGGGCTCATCAGAGCGAGATGAATAGTAACCACAGCATCCCCGAGTCAGGAGTGGCGCTCATCTCCATCCCACATCCCTAGGAGGACAGGAGCCCCAGTAGGATGGGGGGGCCCAAGGCCACTGCACACAGGGCAAGGCCAGGGTTAAACGTCTGGTGTTCAAACTCTAGCCCACCCCCCCCTGCCCCCACCCCAGTGCGTCCACATCTCCAGATGGAGCATTTCTTGTTCGCTTTGCGGGTAAGAGGGTTCGATCGCCCACAAAACTAAGATAGCATTGTAGCCTGGTTCTCTGGTAATTCAGATAAACCCCAGAACCCAAGTGCATCGAGGGCCAGTCTCTGGAGACTGATGAAGCTCTTGGTTCGTGGGCAGCAGGAGTTTGCTGATTGTAATGTCCATCCCTCCCTGGACACCCACCCTTCCTGCTCAGGGTGCATCCGTGGGGTTCATCCACTCGTGGTCAGCAGGTGAGGACCCGTTTCCTTAAGAGCTACATCGTTCCGTAGGAATGTGCATAGATCCCGTGTGGTGTTGAGGCAATGCTCATCGTAACTTCTTGAAAAGAAATTCACTTAGGGAGCATTTTCTGCACACACACCAAAGCTGTTTCTCCCTGTGATGCACAAACGAGCTCACAGAGGCAGTAATGGACATACTTGTGTGGAGCAGCAGGTTCCTTCCAGAGGTGGTAACGGGGGTCAGCAAACAGCGAGAACAGACGGCGGAGTCCGCGTGAAGGGAGCGTGGACCGTGTGTGTTGTTTGTTGTGGAATATTTTTACACATGACGGTGAAGTTGGTCTGGGTTTGAGGGCCTTTAGGAGCAGAACGCTTTCCTACAGGATGCTCCTGGGCGGGCAGAGGGGGGACCAAGGGCGAGTGAGGTGGAGCTGGAGGCTCGCAGGCTCCCCAGGTGTTCGCTGTCCCCACACGGGGCTGGGAGTCCCTGGGAGTCTGCACCGAGGGGAGTGCTCTGTTAGGAAATCAGGTGCAGCGCACCTGGGACCGATGCCATTCAGAAAGCAAACCCTCTGGACACCCTTTCGCCTCCCACCCCCAAAATCCATAGAGATAGTGGCAAGCAACTTCAGTGACAAAAGCCTGAGGGCTCCCCACTGCGAGGATGGATGAGGACTTTCGAGGGTGCTCCCAGAGCCGTCCCCCGACCCGTCCCCCGACCCGCTGTCCTGGTGACTCAGGACTGGCGGCCGAGGGTGTAGGTGAAGGTAGATCAGACGTGTCTTCATTGCCGGGGGTCGGAACCAAATTTCCCAGTTCTGGAGCCAAGTTAGTTGGGTGTTGTTGGTCCGTGCCCGTAGAAATTACAGCTGAGGCCCACGCGTTACTGCGCGAGGCATCGGGAGCCCTACTTGGTACGGAATCTCAGGTCGGCCGTAATTTCCAGCTCCACAAATCTACCAGCTGGCGATGCGCTGGGTGGGACCCCGCGCGTCTGCTGTGCCCCTTGCTGTTACCCGGCCCTGAAAAAAGATTTCCGTGTCCCCTGCCAAGCAGGGGTGTGACCACGGGCCCCAGGTGTCAGGAAGCGGAGGGGCAGGCCTTCCTGCCAGGTCCCGCTGACAGGCCCACACGGGATTCAAGCCTGCTCACCATGTCCTTTGTCTGCAAACATCAGCTTCCAGTGAAAACAAAACGCAGCGTGGTTTCCGACACCTGCTGGCCCAGCATTTCTGTAGCCTGCTGCCAAGCTGCTCCTGGTCTCAGAGCTTAAAAAACTTTTCCTGCCCCCAAAGCGAAACAAGACTGCACTTTTCGGTCAGAGTTTCTTTCCTGGGCGCTGTGGCCTCTGGGGGCCGGGAAGTTCTGGTCCCTGGTCGTGGGGCCGCCCTGTGCAGGCAGCAGACCCCAGCCCTTCCCGCGAGGTGCCGGTAGCAGCCCCCTCCCCAGCATGGCAGCCAGAACCGTCCTGGGACTTTGCGGGGGTCTCCTGGGGGCAGAGTCGCCTCCAGGCACCAGCCCCCATGTGTGGGTCCGAGGGATGGAAGCCCCGTTTTGATCCAGTGATGGACTGGGGAATGAGGTCCGGATGTTGGTGGGGGTCTGTGGGGCTCTGTGTCCTCACACGAACTCTAGAACCCTACCTTGCCAAACGTATGCAAAGACCTAGCCTCCGTGTTCGCTGGCGTTTTCTCTGTTGAAAACTAACCGTACAGAAAGCTCCTTGTATTCCAGCCTCTTAATTCTTAATGAAATAGAGCTGTTTGCTTTTAAAGAAGTACTAGGAACGTTTTCTGAGAGGCGCGGTTCACAGAAACCAGAAGGGGGTCCGTGCTTAGGGGATTCTGGAGAAACCTTGAAGAGAATAAAATCTCCAGCGGACTGATTTCCCCCTAAGAGAAAGTCGGTGTTTCGTCTTCTGTGTCTTTGTCTGTAGTTGAGAAATGTCTTGTTTTCGTGATCTGACCCTATGTTTCCACCACGTGTGGCTTCGCGGTGCCGTGCCGGGGGCGGGGGGCATCTTCCTCGGCACTGTTGGCGCATCTGTGGTGCTGGCCGTCAGACGGGCTGCCAGGGCCTCTGTGCAGCGGTCTCGTCTGCCTCCATTTCCCCCTCCCCGTGACCGTCCAGGGGAACGCCCCACCCTCACGGGGTCGCCCGTTTAGGACACGGCTGTCCTCTTGGGCGGCTCGCTCCCGTCCTTGGTTTTGTTCCAGGGCGGGCAGGCATCTGAGTTGAGTTCAGAGGAGGTAGCCAGTGCTCCTGAGTCTGTTCTTGAGCGTGCAGACGGCGCGGAGCCGGGGAGCTGGGCCGCGTCTCTTCCGCAGGGAACACAACGCGGAAGAGACACGGCCGGCGGCCGGCACCCTGCAAACGAGCATTCCCGCTCCCTCTCCGTCCGCCGCGTCAGGACTGATGTTTGTGGAGGGTCGAGGGGGCTGACGTGGAGGGGCCAGTGCAGGAAGGACTCTGAACCCATCCCCCAACCGCTGGCCTGGCCCCTAGGGGGTGGCGCAGGGACCCCGGAGGTCGGGGGGGCCGGGGTGTCGACGGCCAGCTTCTTCCCATCCCTATGTCTTTGGGGTCTGGAGCGCTGGTCCGAGAGAGCCCTGAGCTGTGTTCTCTGACAGTCTTGTCTTGAGCGTGGAGGGGAATGATGTGTATTAACTGGAGACTCTTTGGATGATTTCCCCCCACAGATCTTTGGAAACTGGACCTTTGGGACGCTGGTGTTCACTGTGATGGTATTTACAGTCACACTAAAGGTAAGCGCATGCCGTTGATGTTCCTTCTTCAGCCGCCCCGTCCATTGTAACCGTGCCCGGGCTGGAGCCCCCATGCCCCGGGCCGCCCTCCAGGGTCACGTTCAGTCATTTAAGAAGTCAAGTGGGGACGCAATGCACTGGGTGCCGGGCGGCCAATACGTGAATTTCTGGAATGACACAGAAGGTGAATGAGGGAATGAGCCTTTTCTTTATAAAAGGAGTCGGGTGAGAATTCCTTTAAACAACAAGCCCCAATACAGTCAAAAGCTACTTTAAAACAAATGAATGTATTATGGGAAATTCAGCTCTTTTGAAAGTCAAGCCGGATTCTGCATTCCTCAGACTGTCGCCCCAAGTCTCCGCGGTGGGAACACAGCCGACAGGGTAGCTGGGCCGCGGGGTCCTCGCCAAGCGGAAGACACTCCGGGGCGTGCCCCCCGGGATGCGGGGACATTGCCTTGTCTCTCTCCTCTGGGAGCTCTGGTCGTGCTTCCTCAGCAGGTTTATGTGGGCGTCTTGGCTGCTGTGGAGGCGGGGTGGTCTGTGTTCCCCGTTCTCTCCCACTGCCGGTCCGCGATGCTGTGGCCGAGGCCCTGACAAGGTCCCGACGAGGCCCCGACCCGCGGCCTGTGTCTCTCTTTCAGTTGGCGCTCGATACGCACTACTGGACTTGGATAAACCACTTTGTCATCTGGGGGTCCCTGCTGTTCTACGTCGTCTTCTCCCTCCTCTGGGGAGGGATTATCTGGTACGTGGGGGCGCGAGGCCGAGGGGTCCCCACACTCCCTGGACCCACGTTCTCCGTGGGGGAGCCACGCTGCGTGGCAGGTGACTAGCTGAGACCAGGGAGGCCAGGCGCTGCCGCCAGGGACCTGCGTCAGATCGCAGGTCAGACGAGTCTTCTCGAGAGAAGTCATTTACGCTGTGGCCCGGGCGGGCATCACCCTCGCCGTGGTGGGCTGGGCGTCCTAGATGTGTCCCGGGATGGGGCCCGGGCTAAGTGCTTGTGGGCGTGGCGTGGCCAGCCTTCCATGCTGCAGCGGTGGTGAGCGGGCCTAGTGGGCGTAGCAGGTGGGGCCGGCCTGGGGGCCCCCCGCCGCCGCCGGCGGACGGGGCCCTGGTCCTGGGAGGCCACCCGGGACGCTCCGCGGAGAAGTGGCAGGGTCCCAGTGCTCCGTGGCCTCCGGCAGGGGCGAGACGTGGTTGTGTGTGTGGTGCCTGCTCGGGTGCTTTCCGTGGCACTCCGTGGCTCATGCTGTTCCTTCTGCCCGGCTGTCCTTTCCCGCCAGCCTGCCCCGTGAGCTCTTACGTGTCCTTCAGGACCCCTCTGATGCGTCGCCCTTCGCCCAGGCAGCTGGTCCCACCTCGTCCCGCCCCCGTCTCGGCACACACGGTGCCCCCACCTCTGCGTGAGACGGAGCATTTCCTGAGCGCGGCTGGGACAAGGGGGTCCTGGGCGTGCCTCCCCCGGGCGTGCTGGCCGGACGCGGCGTCCCCTCCGCGGTGCCCGTGTCGGGCAGCCTGGAGTGTGGGGCTCTGCCCTCAGCGCCGTGCCCGCCCCGCCTCTCAGAGCGTCGCTGACCTCTAGTGGCCAGGGCCCTGTGCTGCGTGTTCTTGGGGACCTGCGGTGCCGAGCTGGACGGGCTTGTGGTGGCCTCCGGCCTGTGACGTCCACGTTCCGTCCGGAGCACCCGTCCGCCCCGCTCCCCGCCTTGGGCGCACGGATGGCAGAACTAACCCCGGTTCGCTGCTGGTCCCTTCCAGCTTCCGTCTTGGAGTGCAGTGTGGATGTTTTCTTGAATCACAGGTTTGCCTGGAAGGGAGGCCCTTCGTGCTCTCTCTTTTCATAGGAAAAAATGTCATTTTTTCACTGTATAAGCCCAGGGTGGTTAACTAGCGCTGCTGATCAGAACCCGTGTGTGTCTTGAGCATGTTAACAGCCATCGCTCAGGTTGTGGTTCCAAGATACCAAAAAAAAAAATCAACTATTTTAATCTTTTAAAATCATTTTCCGCTGTCCAGAAACAGCTCCAGGGACATCCCGTCTCTTTGGGATGACTTGCAGAACTCCCTGCCCGGCCTGACGGGGAAATCCTGCGGCCCGTTGCTCATGAGTAGGCGGGCGCACACACACCCAGGAGGGTCAGCGGCAGAAGTAAAACCTCGGGGATCGGGCGGGCTTTTCCTGAGAGCAGAGAGCGCGCTGTCCTCCGGGTGACCTCCGACGTGCTCATCTGTTGTCTTTCCAGGCCGTTCCTGAATTACCAGAGAATGTACTATGTGTTCATCCAGATGTTGTCCAGCGGCCCTGCCTGGCTGCTCATCATCCTGCTCATCACTGTCAGCCTCCTTCCTGACGTTCTCAAGAAAGTCCTGTGCAGGCAGCTGTGGCCCAGTGCCACAGAGAGAGTCCAGGTAGGGGTGGGGCGGGGCTGGGGGTGCTGCAGGGGGGCGGGGGGCGCGGGGGCCCAGCCGGAACAGGCGCTGTGATGCTGTAAGGAAAGCAGGAGAGGCTTGCGTTGGGAGATGCGCTCAGTCCGGGTGTTACTGACGAGCGTTAGACAACGCGGGGGAAACGCGGGATGACCGCGTTCGGGCCCGAGACGCTGGTCCGCTGAAGTCAGAGAAGGATCGAGGGGGACGGGCTGAGCCGATACAGAAGGAAGATTATCTTGTGTAAATCCAAAAAAGTTTTCAGAATTAGTTGTTACCTCGAAGGGAAAGTTGCATTAGTTTTAGGGATGGTGACTGTGGCCCCAAGCGTTAGCGTTTATACTGGGCAATTCTGGTGAGTACAGGGGTCCCGTGGTTTCCGCAATCCCAGATGGAGGCCAGCAGATGAATTCTGGATTCAGGAGAGAAGTGACATGTGCAGAACGCCCGGCCCAGTGTAACCGTAGCAGCAGGGGCCAGAGCTGCTCAGAGTTCTCAGCAAGGGCTCGTCCCCCTTCATCCCCTCACCCCTGCGATCTCCGGGAGGGCACGTCCCCCGTCCCCTCACCCCTGCGATCTCAGGGAGGGCACATCCCCCATCCCCTCACGCCTGTGATCTCAGGGAAGGCACGTCCCCTGTCCCCTCACCCCTGCAATCTCAGGGAGGGCACGTCCCCCGTCCCCTCACCCCTGCGATCTCAGGGAGGGCACGTCCCCTGTCCCCTCACCCCTGCGATCTCAGGGAGCACTCCTTCCCCTTCATTCCTTCACCCCTGCAATCTCAGGGAGGGCACATTCTCCATCCCTCACCCCTGCGATCTCAAGGAGGGCACATCCCCCATCCCTCACCCCTGCAATCTCAGGAAAGACACCCCCCTCACCTCAGAGATCTCAGGGAGAACATGCCCACCATCCCCTCACTCCTGCGATCTCAGGGAGGGCACATTCCCCCATCCCCTCACCCCTGTGATCTCAGAGGGCATGCCTCCCTTCATCCCTTCACCCCTGCAATCTCAGGGAGGGCACATCCCCCATCCCCTCACCCCTGCGATCTCAGGGAGCACTCCTTCCCCTTCATTCCTTCACCCCTGCAATCTCAGGGAGGGCACATTCTCCATCCCTCACCCCTGCGATCTCAAGGAGGGCACATCCCCCATCCCTCACCCCTGCAATCTCAGAAAAGACACCCCCCTCACCTCGGAGATCTCAGGGAGAACATGCCCACCATCCCCTCACTCCTGCGATCTCAGGGAGGGCACGCTCCCCCATCCCCTCACCCCTGTGATCTCAGAGGGCATGCCTCCCTTCATCCCTTCACCCCTGCAATCTCAGGGAGGGCACATCCCCCATCCCCTCACCCCTGCGATCTCACGGAGCACTCCTTCCCCTTCATTCCTTCACCCCTGCAATCTCAGGGAGGGCACATTCCCCATCCCTCACCCCTGCGATCTCAAGGAGGGCACATCCCCCATCCCTCACCCCTGCAATCTCAGGAAAGACACCCCCCTCACCTCTGAGATCTCAGGGAGAGCATGCCCACCATCCCCTCACTCCTGCGATCTCAGGGAGGGCACGTTCCCCCGTCCCTTCACCCCTGTGATCTCAGAGGGCATGCCTCCCTTCATCCCTTCACCCCTGCAATCTCAGGGAGGGCACATCCCCCATCCCCTCACCCCTGCAATCTCAGGGAGTGCACATCCCCCATCCCCTCACCCCTGTAATCTCAGGAAAGACACTCCCCTCACCTCTGAGGTCTCAGGGAGAACATGCCCACCATCCCCTCACTCCTGCGATCTCAGGGAGGGCACGTCCCCCGTCCCCTCACGCCTGCGATCTCAGGGAGGGCACGTCCCCCGTCCCCTCACCCCTGCGATCTCAGGGAGGGCACGTCCCCCGTCCCCTCACCCCTGCGATCTCAGGGAGGGCACGTCCCCCGTCCCCTCACCCCTGCGATCTCAGGGAGCACTCCTTCCCCTTCATTCCTTCACCTCTGCAATCTCAGGGAGGGCACATTCTCCATCCCTCACCCCTGCGATCTCAAGGAGGGCACATCCCCCATCCCTCACCCCTGCAATCTCAGGAAAGACACCCCCCTCACCTCAGAGATCTCAGGGAGAACATGCCCACCATCCCCTCACTCCTGCGATCTCAGGGAGGGCACATTCCCCCATCCCCTCACCCCTGTGATCTCAGAGGGCATGCCTCCCTTCATCCCTTCACCCCTGCAATCTCAGGGAGGGCACGTCCCCCATCCCCTCACCCCTGCGATCTCAGGGAGGGCACGTCCCCCGTCCCCTCATCCCTGCGATCTCAGGGAGGGCACGTCCCCCGTCCCCTCACCCCTGCAATCTCAGGGAGGGCACGTTCCCCTGTCCCCTCACCCCTGCGATCTCAGGCAGGGCACGTCCCCCGTCCCCTCAACCCTGCGATCTCAGGGAGGGCACATCCCCCATCCCTTCACCCCTGCGATCTCAGGGAGCACTCCTTCCCCTTCATTCCTTCACCCCTGCAATCTCAAGGAGGGCACATTCCCCATCCCTCACCCCTGCGATCTCAGAAAAGACACCCCCCTCACCTCTGAGATCTCAGAGAGAACATGCCCACCATCCCCTCACCCCTGCGATCTCAGGGAGGGCACGTCCCCTGTCCCCTCACCCCTGTGATCTCAGAGGGCATGCCTCCCTTCATCCCCTCACCCCTGCAATCTCAGGGAGGGCACATCTCCCATCCCCTCACCCCTGTCATCTCAGGAAAGACACTCTCCTCACCTCTGAGGTCTCAGGGAGAACATGCCCACCATCTCCTTACCCCTGCGATCTCAGGGAGGGCACATGCCCTGTTCCCTCACCCCTGCGATCTCAGGGAGGGCACATCCCCCGTCCCTTCACATCTGCAATCTCAGGGAGGGCACGTCCCCCATCCCCTCACCCCTATGATCTCGGGGAGGACACCTCTCCCGCCCCCTCACCCCTGCGATCTCAGGGAGGGCACGTCCCCTGTCCCCTCACCCCTGCGATCTCAGGGAGGGCACGTCCCCCATCCCCTCAACCCTGCGATCTCAGGGAGGGCACATCCCCCATCCCCTCACCCCTGCGATCTCAGGGAGCACTCCTTCCCCTTTATTCCTTCACCCCTGCAATCTCAGGGAGGGCACATTCCCCATCCCTCACCCCTGTGATCTCAAGGAGGGCACATCCCCCATCCCTCACCCCTGCAATCTCAGGAAAGACACCCCTCTCACCTCTGAGATCTCAGGGAGAACATGCCCACTATCCCCTCACCCCTGCAATCTCAGGGAGGGCACATCCCCCATCCCTTCACATCTGCAATCTCAGGGAGGGCATGTCCCCCATCCCCTCACCCCTGTGATCTCAGAGAGGACACCTCTCCCGTCCCCTCACCCCTGCGATCTCAGGGAGGGCACGTCCCCCGTCCCCTCACCCTGTGTCCTGCCCGTGGAGGTGCAGAGCCTCCGTAAGGAGAAGGGAGGATCCTGCCGAGTGTGCAGAAGGCAGCAGAGGTGGGCCTGCAGGTGGGAGGACTGTCCACGCACGTGAGGACCCCAGGGAAGGCCTTCTGGAAAGCTCAGATGGCCCCGCTGCTCCTCCGCCCCCGGGTGCCGTTGGCCGGCCTCTGGGGTGGGAAACGGCCAGGCCGCTGCTGGGTTTGCAGGGAGCGAGGTCTGGGCACTGCTGTGCCCTCCTCCACCCGTCCCAGCGGTTGGATGGGACCCCGGTGGGTGGGCCCTCTCCGAAGTCTGCGCTGCTTTAGCATGCTGGGCCCGGCACCCCTGGTTGCTAGCATTCCCCTCCTTGGTGCCTGTGTGTGTGTGTGGTCGGCACCGACAGCGCGGAGCTCTTTGACAAGCGAGCATGACGGGAGCTGTCGGGCGGAGGAGACAGACAGAGGGGACGAGAGACCCGCGCGGCCCCCAGGAGGGGAGCGTCCAGGGGGGACACGGTTTGCTCGGCGCGATGGTGGGGATGCGCGAGGGAGGTGCCTGCGATTAACCGGGCCCAACCGCTTTAACTTGTTTCTCTTTTCCCTTCCTCCTTCCCTTTGTCTCCGACCTCTTTGCCTAAATAACCGCTCCCACCTGTCTCGCGATGTGCGTGGCCCCTCGACCCCTCTGGACTGCAGACTAAGAGCCAGTGCCTTTCTGTTGAGCAGTCCACCATCTTTATGCTCTCTCAGACCTCCAGCAGTCTGAGTTTCTAACGGAACAAGGTGATGCTTTTCTGTCGTTTGGCATGGTGGGGTTACGGTCGCAGGAAGCAGAGGGCTGACCCCTCCTGAGCCGTCCGGCACCCGTCCCGGGCTCCTGTCTGCTCAGGACGAGCGTGTCAGGAGCTACTGGGGTGACCTGTGTCTGAGACGCAGGAAGTGCGCGTGGCCCATGCTTCTCTCTGTGTCCGTGGGAGGTCGCGGGTCCCACCTGCCCGGGTGCAGGGCTGCGCTGCATCGCACTGGCTGGTGGGTGCCCGTGGCCCCTGCACACACAGGTGTGGGTGTGGCAGCTCCTACATCGCTCGAGCCCACGTGGGCAGAGTCCACGCAGCACCAGCCCTCTCTCCGCAGCCAATGGCGGATGGACGGCAAGACCTCCTCACTCACGCAGCTCTGCAGACCCATTGCACAGACAGGGAAACTGAGGCCCCCATGAGAGAGTGTTGTGCAGGCCCCGCAAGGCACTGCAGAAAAGACAAGGCTCAGGCTGAGCCACCCAGGCAGTGGAGAAAGCCAGGAGAGAGGTGTTTGGGTCAAGTGTTTCTCCAAATTCCCTTTTCACTTTGAAAAAGAATCTGATTGTTTTTAGAGAAAGCCTTAACGTTGCTGTGAGCGGCTGTGCTGGGTTATTTCTCAGCAGCATTGAGCCACGCACAGGGTAGCTGCCCGGGGCCACAGCCTGCTCGTGAAGAGCCACGATTTCAGGGGCACAGTTGTCCAGGGATGGCTCCTGTCCGTGCGTCTAAAGGACACCCTTACAGAGGCCTCAACGTCAGTGATGCTTGGAAACTGTTCCTAGTGTAGCTGAGTTCATAGGAAAATACCTAAGCAAGAAAAGGCTGTGTTTTCTTTTAATGACCGTTCATCCTCTATACGTTTTAAATGCTATTTTTTAACTAACAGGATGATACATTTTTTAACTTCTGGTAATTATCAGCAGTCAAAATTTTTCTACTCTGGTGCCATCAGAATTTGCTAGAATGAATGACTTAATTATGTCTCACTGGGTACCTACTTGAGAACATTTAGGATGATACTGTTAGGAACATTTAAGTCACAGGCTGTGCTTATGAAATTGGTTAAATCTTGCCAACTTTGGGATAAAAATACATACTTTCACTCTTGACGCGTGAGGTGTGCTAAGACTCTGTCTCAGAAGCCCATGTCTGGCTGCTCGGGGACAGTCGGCGCCGGGCGCCCTGCGGGGTCCACGGCCACACGAGGCGGCCCACAGGTGTCCCCACACCTGCACCTTCCGGAGCCCCTGGCACGCACACAGGTGTGCGTGTGCTTCTGGGGACCCCCCTGGACACCCGCCAAACTTTGGAGGAACAGACCCTGGACCAGTCCTCATGTCAGATGGGCCGTTGTTTCCTTCCATCTGTTCTGTTAAAAAGAAACACATCACAGGCACCAGGTCTCACGTGTATACATGTGTGACCCGTGTATACATATTTGTACACGTGTTTCGCTGCGTTACCGGATACAGTTCCATCCCTGCAAAGGGCCGCACCCCCTTCCCCTGCTCAGTTCATCCTTCTCCTCACCAGAAGACGTTCTGCATCTCACACCTTATATTCCTCCACCTCTTAAAATTCCCTTCTTGCTGGTTCCTGAGGCACTGATACGGTCTGACGAGAAAGCCGGCGTTGACTTCCGCCACTGTGACCCCTGGGCCCTGCAGGAGTCTAGCCCTGGGGTCGGGGCGAAGGACAGGGACAGAGGGACAGGCAGGTGCAGGGCTGAGCACCGAGGCGGCCGCCGGGCGGGAGCGGCCGGTCCGGTCCTTCCAGCGGAGGCTCCTCCGTGGGCTCCCGGCCTGCTGCCCCAGCCTGCCCTCCTCTCTGTGCCCTGCCCCGTCCCTTGGTCTCTCTCAGGTGAAGCGCTGTTAGGAAGACCCGCTCCTTCCCTGGCGGCGCCCTCCCGCTGCCCCCAGCTCGCGCAGGCCCCAGGTCCGGCTGCGAGGCTGGGTCGTGCTCACGGACGGGAGGCGCTTCTGGAACCAGGCGCAGCCCCTCTCAGTATTTCTCCTCGCCTTGCAGCAGAGCACGAAACTCAAAGCATCGGTCGCCGCTGCGCCGGGCACGGACGGGCCACTTCTGAAGGACCTCTTGCCACGGCCGAGGCGCCATTAGCCAAGGATAGGTAACCGTGTCTGCCACGCCGCCTGGCAGGCCTTCTGGGTGTGCTGTGATCCTTCCAAACTGTCTGCTTTTCCTCCAAAGTTTTGCTGTGCCGTTTTGATAACAAAGGTTCATGATGAAAAAAACAGAACAAAAACATTTTTTACACACACGTGTTTCTGTCCCAGGTAAGTGACCTGCCTGAGCGTGTCTGGGCCGCACGTGGCCGTGCACTGCTCGTGTGCACACGCACATGTGTGCCGTGGCCTTCCACGCGCGTTTGCGGGATCCGCTCAGCCAGCGTGTTCAGTGCTTAGTTTGCCAGAGCAAAGCTCATTCCTCGGCCTTGGTTGTGGAACGAGCTTCACCCAGAAGGTCTCTCAGGAAAGACCGTATTTTGACAAGACGGTGGAAGATTGCATGGTTTGCGTGGGACGTTGGCCCAGGCAGACGTCCGACACAGGTGTCCCGTTGTCCGTCAGCCGCCCCCGGGGGCTGTGTCTGCCCCAGAGAGGCCCGGAAATGCAGCCGCACTCACGACGCGCCCTGAGCCGGGTGTCTCCGGGGTGACAGGCACAGCCTTCTCTGCCCGGGGACGGTTATTCCTGTAAGACCGATTTCTCCCGGACTGCTTCCCCAGGCTCTGCTGCCCGGTAAACTTAACAACGGCTGGGTGAGGTTGCTGGCCTCCTTGGGCCGTAAGAACCTGCACACGCTGAGGTTGCCCGCGTGCGTGGAGGGGACCGTGGACCCCAGCCCCGGTCCCCGGGGCCTCTGGCAGAGGTTTCGCACATGACGGAGCCAAGCGGGGCAGCCGCTGGTGGCCAGAATGCGGTCACATGGGACACGCACCGACCGTGTCTGGAACGGGAGGCCTGCGGGCAGCGGCAGAGCAGGCTGGGCGGGGTCCTTGGGGAGGGTCCCGGGACTGACGCTGTCCTCTGTGTTCTCCAACAGAGCACATGCGTGCGCGGCCAGGACTACCTCCCCGAACTCACCCTCCTGGCCTGCCCGCAGAGCCCCAGCCCCTGGGCCGTGTGGCCGGGCCCGCACACAAAGCAGGGGACGCTGACGTGACCTCCCCTCGCCGGTCTCCTGCACAACCACCACCACCCCGGCCCTGCGCCCGATGGGGGGACCGCTGGTGGAACCAGGACAAGCCTTTGAGAGCCGCACGTGTGTGCTTCTCCCCGCCCCCGAAGGAGGGATGAGAACCACGGGACGTGTCTGGGACGCGTGGCTGGCAGTCGCCACCTCTCGTGGGGCTGGGGGCCCCCACAGCCTCCCTTGGGCATTTGGTTGGGCTCACGCGACCCACTGCATCCCGGGCCAGGGCCTCCAGCCCCAGACGCCGCCGGAGGAGGGCACCTGCGTGGAGGTGGGCCGTCGGCTCGAGCGGGGGTGGCCACACGGCCAACTGTCCGAGCACAGGGGCCTTGTCCTCCCCGTGGGGCGGGCCGGCCTTGCCTCCGTGCCTCCTTGTCCAGAGCGCTCCAGTCCTCGTGCTTCTGGAACTGGCCGGACCAGACCCTGGCGTCACCGTGCTCCTACAGCCTGTCGGAGTCCTGGACTGTGTCCTGCTTCTGTCCAAACCCGCTACCTAGCGAAGCTGCTTTCAGGGTCCTGTCCGACTCGGGGTTCGTCCCTCTGAGGGAGGACTAGCATCCCCCGTGTGAATCTGAGTGGTTCCCATCCCCAGCTGCCCCTGTGGAGAAAAAACATCGTGTGTGACGAATGGAGAACACTGTCCCTTCCAGCCTTCCCAATACGAGATAGGAGCTGGTGTTCCTCACACCTCCACGGATAGAGCCTCCCCGCGTTCTCTTGTCCAGAGAGCTTCCCCAGTTGTAGGGGAAGGCTGGTGGTCGGGGGCCGGGGGCCCGACCCTTCGATGTCCTCATGGAGAGGTGGCCTCCAGGGGCCACGTCCATCTTCCAAAATCTATTTCAGGCCCACACAGGTCTGACGGTGAGGCGGTATCTGAATCCTGAGAAGCAGGATTGCCGCCCTGGCCCGCTGCCCATGGCCGAGACCCGGACCAAGCCCTGCGTGTTCTGTTGGATAAGCGCTGTGTTGTGATCCGCTGTCCAGGGCGTCATTTGGGGTGGGCAGACCTTGAGGCTGCTGCGTTGACAGTCCCGGTCCCTTCTCTGTACTGCTGTTTGTTTCTAGAAGTGACCTCCTTGACGTAGCCTTAATGGTCCACAAAGAAGACATTTCAGTCTGAGATTCAAAGTGTGGATGTGGAAACGGATGCCTTTTGAGAAAAACATCGCCCGAAGCTAAACGACAAGCCGGCCCCTTGCCCGCTGCCGGGTTCCAGGCTGTGGCCCCGGCGACGCTGGTGAGTGAACACGGAGTCTGCTTCAGAGACGCTCCATGCCGCATAGGCATTTTGGGAAGCCCAGATTTCACAATTTGTATAATGTTTCGCCTATAAGATATTTATTTGAACTAGGGGATGAACTGACTGCGTACACAGAGTAGTTGGGGTAAGTCCAGGTGAAGTAGCAACAGCAAACCAAAGACCCGGAGAAAGGACGGGGAGTGCACGGGGGTCTCCGCCCTCTGCCCCGCGCGCCCCGCCCCCCGTCCGCGCTAGGCCCGCAGCAGTGGTGTGTGCATTTTTACAGCCGTTTTTAAGAACCTAATATGGGTATAAATGTAATACCTGTAGGGAGACAGATTCTCTGTATGTTTAGTTAACAAATTCTTTGTAATGTATTTTTTTAGAAATCTTAAAATTGCCTTTGCGCTGAAATATTTTCATAGCTGTTTCTATCCCTTTATTCATTTATTTGTTAATATACCACATCTAATTTTTAAAGTACGTTTTTAAAGCTTTTATTTTTTAAGTTGATGAACTTTTGGCCACTTTGCATTTAAATTCTGGTGGGCGTTTTGGCCGAGTATCTCCATATCTGATGAATGTGAAGATTCAGGTTTGATTTTATTCTCTACACCTGTGTCCCCGGCGGCAGTGATTAGTTGAAGGCCTATTTAGAGCACAATATTTCGCTTGCTGATTCTTCACAGTTGATTGCGATTATTGTCTGCTTTTTGATTTGTTTTTCATTTCCGTCCTTCGGCCTTAAAATAGAAGCTTCTCGAGGGATGGTTTGGTACCCTCTGATAACGCACGTCTCGTTGGGAAAGTCGCTAACCCCTTGCGTGCTCCCAGTGTCTCTTACAAGGTTGTTAGGGAATCCTCCGTGAGTGCGCCTGATCGGTGACGCGGGCCCGGGGCGGGAGGTAGAGCGGCAGAGCCCTCCGGGATGAGTGTGTGCGTGGGACCCAGTGCGATCTCTCACCTGCACGAGTTCCTGTTTACTTGCCTTAAACTGACCTGAAAGCAAGTCCTGTCAACTGTGAGTGTTTGTTTTGGAAACCTCGTTCAGGACTGCCCACGTTAATGAATTGCCAACCCGTGATCTCCCACACGGGTCCCAGCATCTGGTTCCCAAGCCGCACACCATCCCCTTCAGAGCAGGTCACACTAACACACAGGTGGTCCCCACCACGTCCCCGCCTCCTGTTTTCAGCTCTGTGTCCACTCAGGGCCACACAGTACGCGCACATACAGGCTCCCTGGGCCCTGGCCATCCTGCCCGCTTCCTGAGGGGACCCTGCCAGGAGCTCCAGGAACACAAGGCTTGAGCCTCGTGCCCTGATAGGACACCGGAGGCGGGCACGGCAGCCCCGGGGGTGAGACGGGGCTGCGGATGGACATGCTGCAACGCCTCCTCCTTGGGAAGACCCCCCACGGCTCTGCCCTCGGGACAGGGCAGAGAGCAGCGTCCGGACCGTCCGAGCCGCGGGGCCTCTGCGAGCCTCCGGGAGCACCGGCCGGCCCTCTGCCGCGGGCGGCGGGCAGAAGAGGCATCCTCCCGTTGGCAACTCCGGTGCGAACCCAGCTTGGCTATTCCTGTGCATTTGACTCCATAGGGTGAACGCCGACCAGATGAGCCCCTCGTGGTGGCCGGGCCTGCACTTGGGAAGGAGGCCCAGGCGCCCAGCTTCTGCAGTGACGGGTTCTAGAGTTGTAGTTTGGCCTGGTGAGATTTTGCAGCTTTAAGTACCAAAATGTCTCCTACATGCTGTTCTAATTAGTCTCAAATTGTTGCATATCAACCAAATGCCCAGTGCGGCCTAAAGGGAGTTTCCTGGCCTTTTTCTTTAAAACCACTGAGCTCACCGGTGTTGCACTGACCGGAGTAACCCAGTGCAATTCCTCCTCCTTTCCTCGGAAAGCCGTTATTTATTTAACAGCTCCGCGTCACATTTCCGTGTGCAGTTTCTTGCCTTCTACGTTTCTTTTAGAAGCTTCCCATTTAAAAACAGGAAAAATGTCAGTCGGCAAATACATTTTTTTGAGTTAGAGGGTAGGTGAATGAGAATGAGAATCATTCTGATGTTGTCTATAAACAAAGCTTTAATGAAGATGCATCGGAAGTATTACTAAAGTGTGATTCTACTTTTGCAGAAAATAAAGATCAGTTTATATAGCTTTATTTTTTACCTTATCAAAATATACAGAATTTTAATATGCATATATTGTCTCTGACTTAAAACTATGATGTGTGTCTGCATTGCCATTTAAAATGTCTATTCATTATGTAATGTGATAAAAGAGAATCTTCAAAATGTATTTAACATGAATGGTATCTGTAGTTGTCATCATCATAAATACTGGAATTTATTTTTAAATTATTGAACATAATAGGTGCGGTTAAGGTAATAAATCAGCCTCCAGGTAGTCAGGTTTAATTGATAATGATTCATTAACCCACTTTGAAAAATTAAATTGTGATTAAACCAAATCTTACACTTTGTAAAGTTTATTTTGTATGCTACTGTTTTTAACTTTTATTTCTGTAGATAAAATATGACTTAATTATATCAGACTTTTCTGCGGATTATTTTTTTTTTAAGATTATTTATTAGAGAGAGAGAGAGCATGAGAGAGAGGAGAGTCAGAGAGAGAAGCAGACCCCCTGCTGAGCAGGGAGCCCGATGCGGGACTCGATCCAGGGACTCCAGGATCATGACCTGAGCCGAAGGCAGTCGCCTAACCGACTGAGCCACCCAGGTGCCCCTCTGCAGATTATTTAAGCAGGAGACTTGAATCTGCTTGCAACAGAGAAGAAAAAAATGTCTGGTTTGGTTTCTTTATAAATAAATCAGCAGTTGGGCTTAAATCTCTGGGGACAGAAGCTGCAGGGTGAAACCTCTCAGCCTGAGTGTTTGGGCTGAAGGTGGGCAGGCGTCCCCTGGGTGACCGGGTGGCACGTCCACTCACTGAGGCCGCAGTGCGGCCCAGGTGCTCAGGACGGGAGAACGGCATCATGGATTCCTCGCTGAGCCGCCCCATCGCCACCCGCAGCTCTTCTGACCGTCCTGCCTGGGCCCCGCACCCCGGCTGTAAGCTTCCGCTTGCCCCGGCCTCCTTCCCCCTTCCTCTGGCCTCTCCCATTCCCTCCTCCCGTCCAGACTCCGGGCCTGCACCCTGCACGGGTCCCCTGTGCCCGCTGGTCGCACCAGCTCCACGACGCCTGTGGACAGCGGGCTGGTTCGTGTGTCCCCTCCTCGCCCAGTCAAATCCCCACGCTGCCCCCTCCCCCTCGGCTGGTCATTCACCTCCCGCCCACCGGCCACTGCGGTCCCTTCAGCTCCTTGTCTGAGATTCGGAGCCGATTAGGGGACGAGGGTGGAGCCCGGTCGGGGATGCTCAGTTCTGGGGTGCCACCCCACAGGCCTCCCCAAACCTCTGGGAGGGACCTGGGCTCCACCATGTGCGGGCTTGTCCCCAGCCCTCGCGCCCCGTGACGCAAGCACGCATCCGGGGCTGAGTAACGTGGGCTGGATGGGTGGCCGACACTGTCCCCGGCCAGCCGCCGGCGGCCAGCACGAGACTATGGAATATGCAACAGGAAGTAAAAGCCTCTGGCACTTGTCGTGGGTCTAACCTGCCTCGGTGACCCTGGTGGCTGGGAGGACAGCGCCTTGTCCTGCTGGTACGAGGCTCACAGGTGTAACAACCAGCACCACTCACCTGTGTTCCCGTGAACACACAACCACTCGGTCATATCCTAACAACACCCACATGCTAGGGAGCTCCCTCTTGCACGGAGAAGTCTCGGGAACACGTCATTTCTCCATTTCTTTCCTGCATTGAGGGGATACCACTAAATTCCCCGAGGGAAAATGTTCACCTTTGTACATTTTTAGGATTCAGGCACGCATTGGAATAATGCAGGAATGACGAATGAAATAGCAAATGTCTAACTCATCACTGAGCTGCACTTACTTGTTCTCACCGAGCCTGATGGAGGCTCAACAGAAACCCGAGGGCCCATCAACTATGAATTAGACGAAGAATTTCATGTACACTGAAGACGCCAACCCCACAATCAGTGGACAAGTGTCATGACTAATGGCAGCCAATCTTGGGAAGATAGAAATGGACACTTGACGCGTACAGCACGTTACTGGAGGCGACCTATCGCTTGCCTTCCATCGTTTGTTTGCTCTGTTGACCCATCAGCAAGACACTGGGGGTCGCAGCTCCTGGGAGCCAGACACCCTAGGGGCCACGGACAAGTGCCATCCTAATTTCGTCATTAAAACTTTCAGATTCCTTGATGTATTGCTTGTGAAGAATATGTATTAGCCTTTAAAACTAGTCGCACAAAAATCACAATTTGAAAAAAGTCACGTCAATGCTCTTACTCACTTGGTTTTTACAAGATTCAAAGAGAGGGAAAGGGTTTTAAGATAATTAAGAACAAACACGTCCTCTTGAGAACCTCAGTGATAATATCTTCAGAATTTTTAAAGACCTGCTACAAATAGATGCAAAATATGAGATAAATATCAAAATAAATGTTTTAATTAGCTTAGACTTAGTGAATGATTACAGTTCCTCGATCTTTATGAATAGTGGAGCAGAAAGTATCTATGTCCCGGGAAGGCAAACGCAGGCTGAATGCCGACCAGTGCCCCCGGTCACAACCTTCCCCTTTGTGGGCCGGCCCACGCGGCCACGGGGTCGTTGGTCCTACGTGGACAGGACAGCATGGAAAGAGAACCAGGCGGCACAGACGTGGCCGTCCTACCTGGAGACCAGTCTGCTCCAGAAGCGCTCAACGGACACAAAGCCCGTGAGCAGCTTGCTGGCGGAGCGGGCTCCCTGGGGGCGCTGGGAGCGAGCCGCACGGACCGCAGTGTGGATCACTGTCCCTCATCTGGATCCAGGTGGGTCTCCTGAGGCCGTGAGGGAGGGTCTGCTCGGGGCTCCGTCCTGCTCCTGGCCGCTGTAGGGGGTGGTCCTCGGCAGTCCTCCGCCTGCACACAGGTCACCTTGAATCTATGCTTCGTCTCCCCGTGAGTGCGTCTGTGTCCAAATGTCCCTCATAAAGGACACCAGTCATATTGGGGGTTGGGGCCTGTCCTTATTTGAGCTTAATTGCCTCTGTAAAGACCCTATCTCCAAATAAGGTCACACTCTGACAGGGTCCTAGGAGTTAGGGTCTCAACATATCTTTTCTAGGGGACACAGTTCAACCCATAAGACCCTGCTTTGGGGGACCCAGTGGGAGATTCGTCGGCCTTAGGGGCTGGGCAAGCTCAGGCTGCGTGTGCCGGGCACGCGTGCCGACGACGAGCCATAGAGAGCGGGGGCTGCTAAGAAGACAACAGCCCCGCTGCGAAGTCGTGGCCCAGGCCAAGCCGGCCCAGCCCGGGGGCCCTGGGGCCCTGGTTGAAGCAGAGCTGGGTGAGGAAGGGGACGAGAGTGCCCTGCTATGGAAGGGTGGGACTCAGACCCGCCCGACCCCGCAGGGCCCTGCCTCCTCCACGAGCTGCCTTGGGGGCAGCCACCCCTTTGGTCAGGGGCCTCCCTGTCCACCGAGCGGCCCTTCCACACAAAACTCCTGTGGCCATCAGCTGGGGTGCACTCCTCAGCTCCCCTTTAAAAGCCCTCAGGAAGGGGTCTCTGTTTGCCACCTCTGTACCCCCATTCTCTTCTCGGCCCACCCAAACTGGGCTCATCTCCCACTCCCCTGGGAAGGCCCGGACACCCCTGCACCCCAGGCCCCAAGGGCTGGGCAGGGGGAGAGGGCGGGGAGGGGCGCTCCCCTGCCGTATCTGTGTTCACAGCTGCACGGCCCCGGGGACTGCGTGGAGCCCGGGACAGATGCGAGGCTCAATGACGATGCAGCTCCCTGAATACTCCCCACACCTCAAGGCTCGCAGCCCCGCCTGCCCAGCTGAGCTGGACTCCTGGGCTGTGGTCCGGCAGACCAGCCCTGGCCATTTGCTTCCAGAAGTGGACGTGCAGGACTTAAGGGCCCCGTCCCGGCAGAGCCGGCCGTCGGGGAAGCAATTACACCCGAGGGCACCTTAGTTCAGGAGGAGCGAGCAAGGGAGGGACATCAGCTGCTGAAGGGTCCAGGTAGGCTTGTGGTCTGCCTGGGGGCCGGAAAAGGGTACCCCATCTTCCCCCCACAAGGTTGGTTCTCTGAAACCCTAGGCAGCCCCCCAAAGGATGGCCAGCAGGCCCCCCGGCTTGCTGCAGGCATGTCCCCGCTTGTCTCCTCCTCACTTTGGACCCAGTGTGACAAGGGCAGAGACACCCTGAGGGAACCCCGATTTTCTGAAGGGGACGAGGAGTGCCCTGTGCCTCTTCTCCTTAGCCCTACGTGGAGACTGGCTGTGTTTACCACCTGAGGTGTTACTGCTTTTTCTTAATAGAGACTTTCTTGGGGGGCGCCTGGGTGGCTCAGGCAGTTGAGCATCTGCCTTGGGCTCCGTCCCAGGGTCCTGGGAGCGTAGGGCTCTGAGCTCAGGCTCTGCCGCTGCCCCCAGGTCACGGGCACACACACGCTCTCTCGTGCACTCTCTCTCGCAAATAAATCTTTTAAAAAAGTAGAGACTTTTTTGGGAAAGCCGTGCTTTTATATAAATGATTTAATCTCAAATGCTAGTTTTAAACAGTAAATCAGAGAAACAGGGACAATTTGGAAGGCAGATGGACCCTCCCAGGCTGGGCCCAGGGCACAGTGACCAACGGGGACAGCCTTGCAGGACTCCCAAGCGTCGGGGTCTCCTGCTCTGCCACAGTGTTGACGGCGTTCCAGATCTGGAATCGGCAGGCAAACATCAACTTCCACCTCCGGACCGAGCCAGAGTCGGGCCCAGGCCCCGGGACCCCGGGCGGGTGCTCTGTCCCCTGCAATCTCTCCTCTCACATGGATCCCCCACCGTAAGCAAGGATACCGCGGTGCAAATGGCCCCTTGTATTTGTGCTCTGCGGTGCACTTTCTGGAGCCGCGTTTGTGATGGTGATTTCCTTGTGCCTCACGGGGGGCTTGGGAGCTGTGCAAGCCACAAAGGGCTCATCCGGCCATGATGAGCAGGAGGCCAGCAGGGCGCTGCTCGGACCAGGGATGAGCTGGCCGGCTTTTGTACTCGGGGAGATTCATTTCCTCTTGAATCACCTCAACTTTAGAATTAGCCCTAACATTTCTGAACAGCACAGGAATTTTGGGGGTTTGTCCTCTGTGCTTTCACTGCGTTGGGGACCCTGCGCCGAAGCAGACCGCTTTCATGTTCTGGGCTTACTGGTTTGCTGGCCCCCAGAGCTGCTTGCCAGCCGAGCCCGTCCGGGTGTGGGTAACGGAGATGAAGATGCGGGATCCTGGCTGGGAACCCCTGCGTGTGGCAGGACGCACTCCCGTCGGGGGCCCGTGTGCGCTGGCCTGTGGGACCTGAGCCCGCAGCCCGCACACATTCTGACCAGGGTCACCGCACGGGTCACCTGCCATTTCCCCTCATTTTCTGCACCAGCGGCACAGTCGGCTTGGACACCCCGCAGAGCAGTCCCCGGGGAAGCCAGGGGGCCACCTCCCTTTGTACCTTCACTGCTCAGTTACATGGTGTTTCCTACAGCCCATCCGGAGAATCTCTCTTACCGGAGAGCCTCCCACGCAGTCATGGGGAACGAGGTGTTGGTCTTAAAAAAACAGGCAAAGCCCAGCATGCTGGAGCACCGTGACCTCCCTGTGGCCCCTTGGAGAAGAGGAACCCATCCGGTCCCTGACTCCCCAAGGTTCTTGGGGCGCTGCCCGTGACCAACCCCTCCCATCTCTTCAGCTCCCCCCCAAGCAGAGGGTTTCCCCTTCGTCTCATTTCCTGTCCCCTCAAGCCACCCCCTTCCTTGTGAGCCCTGCCTGCTCTGTCCACTGAGTCAGGAACCCGGCCCACACTGTGCCCACCGCGTGCCCAGGACCTCCCAGGAGAGGGTGGCCCCTGCAGACCCCGCACCCTGGGCCAGCGGAGCCTGGGAGTCCCGCAGAGCTGCCCCGGTGCGCACCGGCCGCCAGGCAGTTCGCTGGGTGCTCGCTGACCTTCCACGAGCCCCACGACCCCAGGGCCGCTCCTGGAGGAGGAAAGTGCTCCTGCGGGCTCAGGGCTGGGCGCCCTCCCTGCAGGCCCATGTCGCCGTGCCCCGGGCGGGCCTCAGGCAGCGCCCACACCTCAGGATGCTGCGTCCCGCCGTTAGAGCTGCCTCTTGGCAGGACGCTGTGGTTTAGTTCAAACCAGCTGACCGCTCCGCCCCGCTACACGCAGATTTTGTGAAGCCTCAGCTGAAACGAGCGTTCTGGATGTTTTCGTCCTCATGTCCACTTTCGTGCTTCAGATGCCCTGATGCCCCCTGCCTGCACGGCCATCAAGGGGTGCAGTGAGCTCCTGCCCACCCCGGCCCTAGGTCGTGACAGCGGGCTGTGCTTCCCACAGGGCCGGAGCCTGGCTCCCCGCTGTTGGCCGGGGCCCTGGCCGGCTCCCGCAGAAGCGCAGCCCGCAGGTGGCCTGGCCCACAGGCACCACGCGCAGGGCTGAGGCCACGGGGCGCACGGGCTTCGTGTTGACCCGCCCCGCCGGCCACCCTCCTCCTCCTGAGAGGCTCCTGGCGAGTTGGGGGAGCCTAGCGTGGGTGGGGGGCCTCAGGGCGGCATGGAGCCTGGCTCTGAGCAGGTGCCTCTGCGGCCCGCGGGACCCTCGTCCTGCGGGTGAGCCCGGGAACTGGAGTCGGGCAGGGGAGAGCCTCCGGGCAGAGCTCCGCGTGCAGCCCAGCCCGTGTCCCCTCGGGAGGCCCGACATGCATGCGCCGGTCGGGGGCGACCCCAGGCGGAGAGGACGACCCCTGCCCACCTGACACGTAGGAGGAGGCCGGGGCGGGCTCGGGTGTCTCCTCCGCCTCCCGCACCCTCCCCCGCCTCCTGGTCCCGCCCCTGCCCCAGACTCTACCCCCTCCCTCCTCCTCCCCCCTGAGCCCTCCCCCTCCTCCCGCCTCCTCCTCCCCCACCGCCCTCCCTCCGCCTCTCCCTCCGCCCTCCGCCCTCCTCCCCCGTCCCGCCCTCCCCCTCCACCTCTCCCCCACCTTTCCCCGCCTCTCCCGGGCGCCCTCCTCCTTCCCTGCACCCCTCCCCCTCCTCCGCCCTTCCCCCTGCGGCCCGGGGCGGCGTCAGGCGCGGCACCTGCGGCGGAGGACGCGGGGAGGACTGTCCAGGCGGGCAGGTGTGCGGGGGTGGGGGGTGGGGGGCCGGTGGAAGGGGTGGATGCGTCGGGGGGGCGGGGGGGCGGTGAGCATACGGAGGTGGGCGGGCCCGACCGGGTTCTCCGGTGGGGTGCATCCCTGCAGTCGCCGGCTGGAGGCGAGGGGCTCGCTGTGCCCAGACGCCCCTCCCCATTGTCACGGGGCCGTGTCACACGCGGCAGGTGTCACCCACGCCCCCATGCCCCCCACCTTGAAGAGCCACATCCCAAGCTCCTCGACCCCCCCCCACCCCCGCTGATCCGTGAGGTGTCAGGACAGGTGTTGGGACAGGTGGCCCTGCAGGTCGGTGTGGGGGCAGCAGGACGAGGCCCCCCCACCGGCGTCTGCACTTCCCTGGGCTCCTCCGCCCGGCAGCGGCAGCGGGAAAGGCGGGTGGCCCACAGTCTAGCGGCCTTGCCTTTCAAAAGGGCTACTCAAGAGAGACTCCCACAGCTGAAAAAGAAGAGCGGCTCTTTTCAGTCAACTTCAAAGGCTGTTCGACCACTTTTTAAGAAAGGGGCCCTGTTGCTCTCCTTGGCTCCTCCCGAGCAGCTCTGCTCACTTAAGAGGGGCTTTGGGGAGGAGCAGACTTTGGTCCTGAGCACACAGCCTCCGGTCCTTACGGGAGACAGCCCCATCCAGGGGCCAGAGGCCTCCAGGGGCCCCCGCAGGCTGCCCGCCAGCCCTGGCCCAGGAAGGGGTTAAGGCGACCCGGCAGCAGGATGTGGGGGGGAATGCTGTGGGAGGCCCCAGGATGTGTGGCCGCTGGGAGCCGCAGGGGCACCACAAAAATAGAAGTGGGTCCCCAGGGGCTGCTGCCCGCAGAGTGTCCAGGCCCCCCCTGAGGCAGGCAGAGGACCCCACGTGGCAGGTTGGTGAGGGGGTGCGGGCAAGGAGCCCTTGCACCAGCGGGCGGGCGTTCTACTGTGCAAATCCAGGGGATGACGGCCGAAGCTGGTTTGCAGACCCGAGTTCACGGACCAGGCTGTTCTGAGCTCTGCCCAGCCTCCTGGGACCCACGCCCTCTGCTCACACCACGGCGGGGGGGACAGTCCTGCCCCGACCTGGGGGGTGGCGAGGAGGGGGCTCTCGCTGGGGTGATCCGGCTCTGTCTTAGGACCCCTTCGCTTTTCAGGACCTTGCTCCCTACCCCGTGGGCTGGCCTGCGCCCTCCCACCCTGGCGTCAGGGGCTGGGCCAGGCTAACGCTCCTGGGGCATTCAGTTTTGCCTCACACAGTTGTGTAAGGAAGAGGTCGGTGCAGAGAGCTTCTGCCACGTAGGGCCCACAGCCCGGGGAGGGGGCCCTGGGGCCTGGAGGGCCTGGGGCGACTCTTCTCAGAGCGGGAGAGGCAAGGTTTTCTTACAGGAGAACTTACAGGGACCTAGAAGGAGGCCGTCCTGCAGGGGTCACGGGTGACTGGCCCTGCAGAGCCCCTGACAGTCGGGATGGTCTCCAGCAGAGTCTCCCCCCAACCCCGCCCCAGCTGTCGCTCCCTGGTGCTCACCGGCGGCACCATCAGCCTGCAGGTGACCCTCTCTCTCTCTGAGCCTCAGGCTTCCCACTGCGGTCTTGAACTGAAAACGGGACATTTATCTGGGAAAGCAGCATCTGGGCAAGTCGAGGTGAGATCCCAGTCACTGGAAGGACAGCTGTCCGCCGCCAGGTTATTGAACTTCTGAAACGTGGACAGAATCCTGCAGCTGAAGCAAGGATGTGGAGTGTGTGTGGGCCGCAAACCAGCCGGCCTGGAATGCTCCCGACCGACTGCACATGGTCCCCGACTTCGTGGGTGTCGTATTATTTTAAGAGGCTCCTGGAGAAGTAGTTACAGACGTTTACTGCATTTGTCCTTTTGTATTTGCTCACGAGAACATTAGTGAAGCTCTTTGCTGGCAGGTGGGAGACTCGCTGGGCTGGACACACACGGGCAGCAGAGATGCTCAGGGGCCTCGTCCTTTGGAGAGGGCAGGAGAGGATGGGGTCGGTCTTCACCAAAGCACCTGCAGGAGAGGATGGGGTCGGTCTTCACCAAAGCACCTGCAGGAGAGGATGGGGTCGGTCTTCACCAAAGCACCTGCAGGAGAGGATGGGGTCGGTCTTCACCAAAGCACTTGCAGAAGCGGCCGTGGGCCAGGCGCCGGCTCACAGGAAGGCCGCACGCGTGGGCGGAGTCTGGCGCTGCGGTCGGCTGGCGTGGCCGCTGGAAGAGGCAGGGGTGGCCCCCTCTTGTGGGCTGCCCAGGGGCTTGTAGACTCTCCGTGGGCTCCCAGCTGGCGTAGCCTATCTGTGGCATGTTCCTCTTTGAGATGGGGACATAACCCTGCTTCCTCCTGACTTCCTTGAGTGAAACTTCCAGAACTCTCTGCCCACAGTAGGATGTCTGATACTGCGTGGTTGCAGGAAATGCTAGGACATCTCGACTTTGTGGCCCATGGGGGGAAGAAGAGGGCGAATGACGAGTCCCCTCCACCTTCCGCTTCTCTGTCCTAGAACCACCTTCTTTGCTTTTGAATGATGCTACTACATTCTCAGTATTGGCGATTTGTAACTGATTGATAATGCAGTTGTCATGAGAGACCGCGGCGGAGCCAGCTGCGACATTCGCATCTTCGGTGCATTTCTCTAGTGCTGGGGCTCCCGCTCGTAAGCAGCCGCGGGAGAGGAGAGTCAGATTTCCTGTCCGCAGGCAGCCGTCTCGTCAGTGAGAGCGTGCGCAGCGCCCTGGGTGACTCCCTTCAGGGGACCCTCGCCGGGCACAGCGACCGCACTGAGTGTGAGCGACGCCGAGCCCGGGTGTGCGTGTGCACGGGCCGCTCTCCCGGGACCCCGAGCTCCTGCGGGGCAGGGCTGGCCTGAAGCCCTCAGCACCGAAGCAGGTGCGCAGGGAGGTGGCCCAGCCGAAGGAGGAGCGGGCGACGCTGGTTGGCTTGGGTCTTCTGCTGTACTCGGCCACGTCCCTGCCACCCAGCCCCCAAGTCCCCTGTGTGCTGCGAGGGGGACGCCTGGACTCCAGAGAGGGACAGAACCAGACCTGGTGGCTGTGACCACTCCGGGTCCTCACCTATCGGGAGCTTTTCAGTGGGAGACAGACAGTTTGGTGCTGGGTGGTTTTGCCAGCCTGGAGATTCTTATTTGTTTGTTTATTATTTTTATTTTTTAAAAAAAGATTCATTTTAGAGAGTGCGCACACACGGGCGGGAGGGGCAGAAGGAGAGAGAGTATCTCCAGCAGACTCCCCGAAGAGCGTGGAGCCCGACACGGGGCTCGATCCCGGACCCTGAGATCACGACCTGAGCTGAAACCAGGAGTCAGACGCTTCACCGACTGAGCCCCCCAGGCCCCCCCAGCCTGGAGATGTTTAAAGTGAACGGGCCTGCCATCTGGGTCTGAGCTCTGTGCCCTCGAGATGACATTAGCTGTGGGAAACCACTGTCGAGATGCCGCCGTCTGCCTGGGAGCTTTGGGTGGGGGGCGGTGTGCAGTCACTGGAGGACCACAGTCCTGGGGGCAGGGGCTCACCGCTCCGGCCCCCAGCGCCAGCTGTCCTTGGGGTGCTCGGGGCTGACCTGCCTGGCCGTGACCTTGCCGGTGGAAGCGGGAGTGGCCTCATGGGTCCTCCAGCCAAGGCGGGGTGGAGGGCATGCTTTTGAGAACAAAGTCCTTAAAAAACTTTGTGCCGTCTCGCTTGGGTCTCAAGACCGGAGACTGAGTGCCTGGTGACCCTTGCGATCTCTGTGGCGGGTGGGGGCGCTGGAGGCCGGGCTGGAGGGGCAGGAGCCCAGCACTCCTGGGAGCAAAGGGAATCACACACCGGGCCTTTCCTTTCCGTCCGGAGGTTTAAGATTACCATCAGCCTGCTCGTGTTTGAAATCCTCTGAGCAGAATGTGGAAGAAAGGAGGAAAAAAACAGGGTTTGGGGGTTGGTTTTGTTTTAACCAGGGAAATGTGCCTCCTCGTGTTTCATGTTAAGGCCAGACTAAGGCAATCGGAAATCATTAGCTTCCGTCTGACTGTGGCCGTGTCGGCGCTGTTCCTGGAACACGGTTTGATGGTCCTGGATCCGGGGACAGGCCCCAATGCAGTGGTCCCAGGGCCTTTCGGGAGAGAGCGGCTCATTGTCCCTCGGGTTCAGCGTGAGGGATCCTCATTCTGGTGCTGGGCAGAGAGGTCCAGTAAGCGTCACCGGCACCCGAAGCGCATGCCCAGAGAAGTGACACAAAGGACGCGTGTAGGTACCGAGCAAGTTGGGGCCAGCAGCAGTGAGAATAAAACCAGAGGGACCCGTGCATACTGTGGGACCGGCAGGGGAAGAAGCCCTGAGCGTGTGTGTTGGCAGGAAAACAGGGAGGAAATGGGTCTCCTGTTGGGCAGGCTGTGAGGTTGGTGGTGCTCGCCGCATGAGGGAACCGGGCTGTGTGTCTGCCAGCCAGAGTTACCCCAGTCCGGTGGCGGCTCCTTCCTCCCTGCAAAGACAGGCGAGGCTCCGTGCCTCAGTGCCCTACTCGTCCAAACTCCTCCCTAGATGCGGGCAGGCAGTGGTGGGCTTTCGAAGCTGCCCTGGGGGTCCGAAAGGAAGCCAGACCTGGGAACAGCACGGAGGGCGGGCTGGCCGTCGGGGGCCAGGCGGTCAGGGAGAGCCTTGAGGGGGAGAGTGGCGGGGCCTGGGCTGGAATGGCAAGGGGCGTCGGTGGGAGGAAGGGAAGTGGGTGGTGCTCGTCCCTGGGGTGGCCTCCTCCTGGTGGGGCGTGGCTTGGGGCCAGGACAAAACCGCCCCAACGCATCAGGCGGAACCTAAACACTGAGGTGGAAAGGTGATATTGTTGGTAATAATATTCAAGTCAGATCATTTCCATCTTTATTCTCGAAGACGGGGCCTGCCAGGTACCGAGTCAACAGGGGGATGTCATAAGGAACCACACACGGGCTCAGACCAAGCACAAAACCGCGAGGTTGGGAGCCGTGTACCCCACACATGACTTCCGTTGCTTTCTGTCTCAAGTGTCCTTACCAGCTGTCTGTTTACATTCAGGATTGCCTCCCAAAAACCTGACTTAAGTTTCCTTTGCTGGATTTTCACGGGAGGGATTGTACCTTAATGTTTGTTCTGGGACTTGGGAGGACATTCTCTGCTCAGACGATTTCCCATGCTTTTCAGTAATCTGAATAAGCAATCAGCAGTGGTTTTGAAAGTTTGCCAGTTTGGTGAATTAGACTGTGACCTTGAAACCAGGGAATCAGGGATTTTTATATTCTTGAAACAAGAACCTGAATGTCAAGGGGAAAATCTAGGCCTTTGTTTTTTTTAAGCAGAAGTGAATAATATTTTTGTTTATGCAACCTTTATTCCGTGTCAATATCATAAAAGAAGGTTGTTTAACTGAACATTGATGCAGTAGACATTCATTGGAGGAGAATGAATTTCCTTTTAAACGTACTCCCTCCATTTCTGAATAAACACTGCAAAAGGCTGCATCTAGTTGTTTGGACTTCGAGAAACGACTATGCTGTCTTTGGGCAGGGTGAGCTCATTTTCCTTTGAAAATCTGTTTCTCGCACTGCAGACTCATGTTTGACTGCTGGAGGTTTGTCCTGTGCAAGAAAACTGGACGCAACCATCATTCTTCCCGGAGAGGCTCCGATGAGACCGAAAAAGAAGAAGGTGACCCTCAGATCGATGTACCTGACGTCCTCAGGCTTGTCAGAGACCCACCAGAGGGGTCACATTCACCTGCAGGTAGGGACCACTTTAATCCTTAGTTTGACCCGGAAGCTCAAAGTCCTGCCCGTAGCTTTTCTGGTCCTTGTAGGAGATGAGTGTGTTTTGGGTCTGGGAGAACAGTGTCCATCGTGGTGTCCCGGTGGCGTCCCCGTGGCGTCTGGCTGCAGGCCCGTGGCTGTTACCTGCCCACACCCGGTGAGGAGCTCCCAAGATGCTCCTCACTTGGTCCTGGAGGTTATTGCGATGAGCGGGTTAATGCGAGAGGAGAAAAGTTCGTCTGAGTTAGGGATGAAGCACAGTGCGGCCAGAGGGGAACCATCAGCAGGCTTGGCTTCAGTTCTCAAAACCACAGGAGCTGCTGTGGAATTCGGTAGACGGAGCTGTCACGGCTCAGCAGGTCAGTGGTTGGTGCCCGGAGGACAGAGCGAGCATGACCCATGCGGGCTGAGAGCCCCATGCTCCTCCGTGCCCAGCCTGGCCCCAGTCCAGGCCTGGGTCCCTTCCCGCAGGCTCCTGGCCATCTCGTAACCGAAGCCAGAGGCTGGACCCTGGTCTGCGGTTCGTCTGCACTAAATTACTTGTTGCCCTTCCTCCCCACCCTACTCTGAAAGTGGTTTTCACTAGACGGGGCAAGCCACGTGCTGACCACCGAGGGACAGCACGGATGGGATGGCGAGTGTCCCCCCGGGGCTGTGTCCCTCGCGGGCTGTGTCTGGGTCTCCGTGCAGCTGTGGGCGGCCCTGGCGAGCAGGCCAGCTGGGCCATCGCTGCAGCTCAGCCCTTGCGTGTCTATGTCCGCGTGTGAGTTTGTGCTGCTGATTGCGGTGTCTGGGACACACTCCGGACCAGCGGTCCTGAGCCACGGCTCCAGTGACGGGCCCTTCCATGTGTGAACGCAGTTGGCCACTTGAACTTGGCCGGTGGGTGGTTCCTTCTGGCGGGGCGGCCCCACCCGCGTCTCCTGTAGGTTTAGAAACTTGATTTTTGTCACGTCCCTTGTCGGTGACTGTTGGGAGCGGGAGGCTGAAGTCAGTGTCCCCGCGATGGGGCTCCCCGGCTCTCTGGTGCTCTCCGCGCTGGGAGCGGCGCTTTGGACGGCCACCTCGGGGAAGGCGAGGGCAGGAGGGGCTGGGGACAGGGCTGGGGACGGCGCTGCCCCTCACCCGGCACCCCCGCGCTGGGAAGGCCACTTGGGAAGGCCATGTGCCTCCTGCGTGAGCGAGCGCGCAGTTCCGGATCGCGGACACTGGGGGGCACTGACCTTTGCGTCTGCAAGGCTCTCTAGTCCTTCCGCGCTCAGCTGGGCCGCAAGTGGCTCGGGCTCCGGAGTGGGACACCGGGGCTGGACTCTCCATGGCGTCCTGGCGGCAGCAGCGTGCCCAGGGGCCGCAGTGAGGACCCCGGGGTGCCGCGCGCTCGGGCGAGGGGGTCAGAGCCGTGCCCAGCCGGCCTGCGCTCCCACTGGCGTCACTTCCTCTGTCCCCCAAGCCACAGACCTCCGCGGCGCTGGGGGTCCTGCTCTATGGACGAGGCCCGCTGGGCGCCACGGCCCATCCCCAGTGGACGGGAAGGCCCCCCCCATTGTCCTTGCTCCCTGTGGAGATGGGGGGAGCGGGTGCCGAGGGAGGGAGGCAGGTGCGGGGCAGACTCTGAGTAGCTCGTTTTCCAGCGCACAGAGTGGGTCTGTAGCTCTCTGTCCGGTCTTGGCTCTCCTGTGTGCCCGCCGGCGGCTCAGAGCCTGCCCAGACTGCCACAGCCACCCGGGGGAGGCCTCCCTCCGTGGGACGCTGTGCTGATGGCCTCCTCGGGGGGCCTGCTGCCTGTGACCTGGCCCGGGGGCCCATGAGCCACCGCTCACAGCGGCCGTGGGATGGCCCCACGGGAGGGTCAGGCCGCCTCTCCTCTCAGCAGCGGGGGGCAGGGCATCGCAGGTCAGTGCTGTGGTCTCCTTCCTGGGGCTAGTCCCGGGCTCAAGCCTCAGCTGGAGTCTGGAACGGACCCCAGCGTGTGTCCCCCGCCCCCTTCCCCGTGGCCACAGCTGTCTTTCTGGGAGCAAGTCGCGGCAGATGCTTTTTCTGCTCGGCGCCTTTCTGTGGGCCCACGCTGACCCCGGATACAGGCGGGGGGTCTCCGCTTACCCCTGCATTCTGGCCCAGCCATTCGAAGCTCCCCTCCCCCCACGCCCTGCAGGGGCAGCTGCCTCTGCTGAGGACCCCTGGTCCATGACCCGGTCAGGGCTGGCCTTTGTCACGCACCCGGGGCACCGGGCCAACAGTCCCGGAGCGGGGGCCTGATGCACCAGGGGGTGGGGAGGCCTGAGCCCTCCCTCCCCATCTGGTTCTGGGCGAACAGCTGAAGCAGAATGGAATGGAGCCCGTGAGCTACTAGGACCCTGCGGAGGCGGGAGGGGGGCCCTGAGGTGGGAGCTGGTGGCCTCGCGCGCGGGAGGGCGGGGTGAACCAGGCACCAGCTCTCGGGAAGGCCGACCTCTGGAGGCACTGGTGGTGTTTACGGACCCGCGCACGCGTGCGCACGTGCATCCCAGCGAGCGGAGCTCCGAGCTTGTCCGGCTCTGGATTCCCTGCTCTCCGCCTTCTGTGTGTCGTGGGCACGGGCGGGGCCCCAGCGCCACGGTCGCCCCGCCACTGGCCTCCCTGTGGCTCCAGCATCTGCTGAGCGCCGTGGCGCGTCTGCGGCACGTCAGGCAGGAAGCCTGTGGCCGTGGACGGCGGGTTGGTGGGTTTGAAGGCCCTCTGTCATCTGAAACCTCGCGTGTGAGAGCGCGGGAGGCGCGCCCGTCACGGGGGCAGCTCCTTGTCACCGCGGAGGTGCCGCGTCTGGAGGCGAGCCTCCCCTGGTTTGGATGCCGTTGCCCCGCGGTTTACTTTGCGAACAGTGACATCGATCGTGATGGGTGGTAGGGTCTTCAGTGACGCCCACAAACCTTTGAGCATCATGCTTGAACAGGTACTGGGCAACGTTTTGAGGATAAAAGACAACAAAACGCGGTTCTTGACGTGGGTGTAAAGCGAACGATTGCCGTCGGCCACATGAGGTTGGGTGGTGAAGTCGCCGTGGTGTCAGTCAGCTGCCCGGGGCCGGGCGAGAGGAGCCCCCGATGGCCGGCAGCGCCCCGCGAGCCTCGCGGTTCTCTGCTCTCCCAGGGCCTCCCACATACGCGCTCCCGAGTGGCATTGACTTGGGGTTAGTTATGACCGACGTGACGGTCGCAGGACCTGGAAGAAGGACTCTGAGCATCTGAGAAGCCCCTCACGGGGACACAGAGGCTGGGAGGCTGCTCATCACCGAGGCCCCCTCCCCATGCACCGCCCCCCCCACAGCAGCAGGATAGCAGAAGGATTATTTTTATTTCTGTGGAAAGTTAGTGGGTTTGTGTGTAATTATGAGCTTGATGATGTGTGCTGTATGATTAAGGTGATCCCGGGGCCACACTGTGCCTGAGGGTCATGATTTAGACCAACGAGTGTCTGGGGAAGAGTGAGACCACGGTACTAGGAGCCTGGTGATGCTGTTCCGTGTTTAGATGACACCCTCCCGCACCCCAGGCGCTCCGACGCCCTTGCCCCACGCTGTTGAGCCTCAGAGCCCCACTGACCTGTGTCTGCTTAGAAATCGGAACCTGAACCAGCTCCTGGGGGCGCTTTTTAAAAGACAGCGTCAGAGTGGTGCCTTCCAACAAGTGCGTGATGTTGGCTTGTCTGTCTCCTGAGATGCTGGCAGCCATCGGTGAGCGTTGCTCGGATTTATCAACTAGCTCTCGAGATTTCCCTTCTTATATTCACCTAATGACCAGAAGCGTCCCCCTTAACTCCTTGTTGCCGTGAGGTGCAGTTTATAGGACAGGAGGTACACAGGCCTGATTCTTCCCCTTGTATCTACCAGTTTCTAGGATAGTGAGTTTGCCGTTAGCATCTTCCCAAGGGTTTTTACGAATATCGCTATAAACTCTTACAAAATAAAATTTAAGTGAATACATTTCAGAGATCTCGTTGGCTTTGTTCGAGGGATCCTGAACAGGGCAGCGTCCCACCCAGCAGCTGGAAAGGGGCTCCGAGCAGGTGGACAAGGTGAGAGGCTCCTTAGGAGCAGGAGGGGCGGACGAGGAACTTGGTCTGGAAAGAAATCGGGTGGTGATTGCAGGGTCACTGCTCACGGGTCCATCTGGCAGATCACCCAACTGCCTGGTGCTGGTCACTCCGTTTCTGGGGGACTTGAAGCTGTAACTAAGTCTCAGTTTGGTGACGGGGGCTTAGCGTCAGTGGTCTGGTTTTTAACAGAAGTAAAAGACTTAAATATTTCATACATTCTAATCCATCGCAGCTGTTCGTATGGGTCGGATTGTCCTGTTTGGGGCCTTGGGAGCCTCTTCGTTCGGCCTTCAGATCCACCGGGCCTGCTGCCGCATCCTGGGCACGTCCTTGCGGAGAGGAACACGGGCGAGTGCCGGGCCAGTGGACGGGCCTAGGGCGTACGACACATTTCAACCTCAAATAGCTCACGTACACATGAATTCGTGCGACCGAGTACTGCTTGGCCACAAAAGCTACCGTGCGGCTTGCTCGCGGGAGAAGCCAGGCGGGTCTCAGAGACGCCGAGTGAGGGACGCACAGTTCCTGTTGCGGGACCTCGGGGGAGGAGGGTCTAGAGAGGGCCGAGCGGGTCTCTCAGCCTCGGGTCGCACTGCGGAGTGGGATCGCGTGCGCGGTGGGCGCCCAGCATGCACGTGGGTCACAACTGGTCCGCGGCGCGCGTGGATGACCGCCTCCCCCCTTGCAGCCTGGGAAGGAGACACGCTGAGTTCCCTCCCTGCTCTCCGACGTCAGGGCCACGTGGATCCCGGTCTGTCTCCCGCTCCCGCCCCAATCCGTTTCCGGGGACAACAGCATGCGGCTCCTCGGCCGTTTCCCGCACGCGCACCCGGTGGCGTGAACGACAGTGGCCTCTCTGTCACGGACCTGGGACCGTCACGCCTGAGGGAAGGTGGGATTCAGATT